AGGAGAGGACACCATCCCAGTCTCATTCCAAATGTGAAGCAGTAACACAGTGTAGCTAATCAGAGTAGAGTTTCAACAATAATTTCCATCAGTTTCAAGAACTGTTGTAGAAATGCAAGATGATGAGGACTGCAGGTAAGATCTTTCTTTTGAAGAAGTGGCTTATGATCAGGTGTCTCTGATTAACTGGATTTGAAGAAAACTATGGATATTCAATTTCCATGTTTGAACGTGGGAAGGCTTAGCTGCATTTCAGCTTTATCTTCTCCTTCATGGAGTTCATTGCCTTCAACAAAGCAGTTCCTGTAAGCTGAATATTCTGTATATCTGGACTCACACAGCCTCCCATTTTGGGGAAGCTGGCAATCGTAGCAGTAAGAGGTTATTCTGGCCAGATGTCCAAATAATCGAGATCAGTTTAGCATAACTTGAGAAAAGTCCATGTGCAGTAAAAAAAGCAGAGCCTGCCCCTGGAGAGGAAGTCAAGGTGGATGGTTATATCCATTCCAGCTTCACTGTGTTATTTCCCATTTTCAGTAGAGAAAGGTCTCCAGAAGCCTTAAATCTAAAGGGTTTATGCCCATTCATGATGTCATCACTACTGTTGACCTGTTCAGTGAGTTTTTTTTCTCTGACTAGATTGAACAGAAACTAGGAGTGCAAAATTCTAGTGAAAAAGGGATTTGAGTTTTCATTTGGATGCTCAGAAGAACTGCTGTACTAAAAGTTCACCCATTTCATGAAGGCTTTCATTAGTCTGCAGCAGCCCCAGTTTCATACTGCATGCTGACCCGGACGCAGAGCAGCTTTTTGAATTACACAGAATTTTTGCACCTTTGGCCTTGATGAATCTTTTGACTGTTCAAATGTGAGTGAGTAATCAGAAAGCTCTGTCAGATTTCATGAAGAACCTAAAAGTTGAACCTGAGGCTCATGAGCCTGTTGGATGGGGAAATACTCTGACAATGTAGGAGTTGGTACCCTGGGCGTTGCCATTGCTCTACTTTGGCACAAGCTTTGCTCCTCTGTGCCTTTATTCCTCCACCCTTTGTCTCTCTTTCTCTTTTTAAGGCACTTCAGGCAGAGATCATTTCTTACCATATTTGTAAAGAACTAAACAAATGAAGTCACATTCTGAGAGACAGCATATACTACTGTAATTCAAATAAAAACAGAACTGTAAATGTTGCAAAATGACAGAGTTCAGTGAAAAAATGTGATTATTTTTTTTCCTCCAGAAAAGAGGCTCCAGACATTCCCTATAATTTAACTGTGACTGACAGTAGGAATAAGACAACCACAGTCAATTATGTCCCTGATACTTTGTCAAACCTCTACGGCTGGATGGTTCTCCTCTTGGATAAAGAGACTTATGCATTGACATTTGACAACCCTTTGGTCAGCAAACAGCTCCAGGTAACATGGGAATTTTTTATAATTTCAAAATTATATTTGGAAGAGATAATCGTGCTTTCATGAGCAGAGAGAGGAAAACAATATTAAGTGCACTGAGATAATCTCTATATATTTATAGGCAGGGCTTAGATATGATGACCTTGTCCCTGAAGCTCTCAGTAGTAACTTGGAGCAGGAAGATGATTTTGGACATCTTAGATGAAAGTTCAGTGTGATGCTTAAGAATCAACAAAATTCATACTACCTTAAGACATTCTGAAGTGTGGTTTTCAGAAGACATTGTTCCTCTGCACCTTTTAGAGATGATGAGGGCAGTTGATTTTGTCTGCCTTCACCATCACCTTCTATTTAATTTTACATCTCTCTTCCATGTTTCCAATACACATTTTGCAAAAGAATTTGTTGCCTGTGAGGGGCATTATCTTTATCCTTTTATACTGCACTCCATGGAGGTCTAGTCACAGACATAGGCATATTTATTTTGCTTCCCTCTTCCCTAGTATTCAGTGACGTTTAGCAACTTCATGACTGGGAGTTACTTGCTGCTGGAACACAAGGATCTTCCTGCCGATCCTGAGATTGTGGTGTCCTGTGGGACAAAGATTGGACAGCCGCTGAAATCGCTGCCTTCATACAGACATCATAGGAGCTGTGACTGGTATCTTGACAGCAGACTGAGGAAGCTAACCTATTTGGGTAAGTGCAGTACGACCCATTCAATGTACCTTTTTGTTCACGTATGGTGACGGAGCTGATGTCTTTCTAATTTAACCCCCCAAACGACATAAGGCCTTAGACACAAGGCCATCTTTCAAGGGCCTTTCAATAAGTGAGAGGTCCTTCAAAAAGATCAGTCAAATAGGTAAATGCATTCACATCAGGTCCATCTCTATCTGATCGATCTGATGCCTGATCTATCAACAAAAGGAATGCATCATAAATAGCAGGTGATGTGACATCAGTTGAATTTGAATTGGTGTTTTGGAGAGAGAGGAAAAGGCATTAAATTCCACTAATGATCTCTGTTGTCAGCTGGTCCCATATCACATGTATCATTAATAAATCATGTGCAATCTATCTAGGCTGAGCCCACTGAAGGCAATAGGATTACTGGGTGAGAATTCTTCCTCTAACTGTAAATTTTCAAATATGTCATAGACCTTTACATTTGACTATGTTGGCTTTGAATACTAGACAATGAAGTGTGGTGGTCATCTTAAGAAATTCAGATATTTACTGATATTTATTCAGGTTTCATTTATTCTTTTAAATTTGGGACATTTTCCACAATTCCCATTCTCAAGCAAATGATTTTATAAGAGTCTAAGTTCTATGTGTAAAAGCCAAGGTAATGATTGTTGCCATTATTAATAATAGTAGAATCAGGAATCACAAAAATATTCCAGTGCCTTTGAGAAGCATAGCTTCATGACTGCCACACAAAGAAACTAAAATTTAAAGATGCTGACTTACGTAGGAACAGAAAATTTTGTCAATGATCTAATCCGTTATTTTTAATGAATTTCTCTTGATTTGCACTGATGACATGTCATGTGGGATCTGTTTAGGACTGAGCAACTAGAACAATCAGTGGGACAGTGGAGAGGAAAACACATCTGGAATGAGGGCAGGCAGTCCACTGAGCTTCATCAGACAGCGATGAAAATCATCCAGTGTACATTTGAGGAGAAACGGGGAAGCCCATACTTTCAACTCAGTCTGTGGGTCACACCTGTTGCATTTGTCTCTGGTCCTTCAGCCAACTGGCATAGCACAGCTTGTGTCCATACAGCTTAATGTTTTATCTCTCAAAACAGTCTGGATGGCTTCAAATTAGGAAAGATCCCTGTCCTGTGCTAACTCCCGAACTGTAATGATCACCTTCGGCAGGAGTGCATTGATCTGGGACAAAGCCGTGCCAGGAACTTGGCCAGCAATATAGCCATGTAGATTATTGGGGTCTAGCTCTTAGTTCCATGTCCTGGCTCTGTTTAGATATGGTATAGATATAGATTGGCTAGTATAAATTTAGCTGTTGAGTCTAAGCCTCACCCAAGATCATGCCAAGGTATCTACTGAAAGAAGAAATACCTTTTTATTATTTCAGTTTACTAACAGTGTAAATTTGTTCTTTCAAATATAAAAGTCGACTGGTTTACAGTTTGCATATCCTGAATTGCGCTTTCATAAATAGGGCAGCATGGGAAAGCTCAGAAGACGACACCTATATCTTAGCCTCTTACTACTGTGGAAAACAGAGAAGATGATAGTCTTAGGAAGACTGAGACAAAGTGATCTGGCTGGCATATGTCAGTCTTGCATCACATATACTTTCTTGTCCTTCTCTTGCCTTCCTTTCATCTTGATTTTTATTATATGAAGAGCTTGTCGTCGTTTCTCATTTTAATACAGAGAGAAACAATCATCCAGAGTACATGAGGGGAAATTTATGAAAACACCTAACATGTATAATTCATGCTGTGAACATTTTCAGCAAGGACTTTTATAGCAGTGAGATCAATAATTCAGTGTCGGGTACCTAATATCCAATGCTGTTGGTAGGGTAAAAGTCTGAAACAAAGCGAGCAGATTTCTAGCCCTGGTGTGTCATTTAATCTCTCTCCTAATCTCCGCTGTGCAGGCTGAGAGGGTGAGGATAATTAGCCATCAGAGCAGACTCATGGCATGTGGTGGACTTTCCATCACTCAGGGTCCTGAGATGATGCGTGGCTGTCTTTTCAGAGAAATATGCTCCAGCTCTACAAGAAGCTATTAGAAACCTCATGAGGCGAGATTCACGCTCCTTAGGAGGTCAGAGAAGGCTGCCACAATAGTCCCTTCTGGCCTTAAAAACCCACCAGTTCACCCATCGACCCAGAGAGGACCACGCTTGAAGGTCTGGCCTTCAGAACGTGTTCCTGCCTAACTCTGCAATCTGGTTTGTTTTTTTTTTTAAAAATTTTACTTTTTATTTACATTTAACTATATGAAATAATTAGTCAACTAATTAATCCCGTTTACAAGCTTTGTCGGATTCTTCAGCTGTCAGTCATGCCCGAGCCCGGGGCCGGCATTGAGTCTCAGCTCCCTCCTTCATCTGACTTGGTCTCCATGGCTACAGGCTGCATCTGCTGACACCCCACTCTCTATTTACTGCTTAATTAAGAATTTCACGCTCAGCCCTTATCTGCTGCTAAGAACAAGAACACACTGTTAAGAAACTCCAAATTTAGGCTGCTGCACAAGGAAAGCCTTTCTTGTCGTCCTGACTGCGTGGAGCCTCTTTAACTACCCTCTTGGCAACTGCGCTGCCACCCTTCAATCAAAAATCATTAAATGGGGCAGAGATAATGAGCATGTAGCATATCAAAAGGAGGATGTTTGCTTGGGCTAAGGAGGAAAAGCTGTAAGGGCCTATAAGCAGCCGCCACTTCAAAGGGAGAAGGGGCTGATAAAGAGTCATTTGTTCCTGTTTGACTTATGTAAAAGGTCTGGTATGTCGGAGTCCCGTCTCGCAGACGCGGGTCCCCCCTCTTGGTGCTCGTGTGTCAGCGGTGGGGCAGCTGGACCCAAACAGCATCAGCCCAAGCATATAATCACTTGACTCCGCACCGACAATGGGCACTTGTAGGGGGTGGCGGAGGGAGGGCTGGGGGACAATGGGAAGACAATTATTGCAGCTGCTCAGGAGGGTCATAATTCTTCCTGCAGAAAGTAGCCGGCTCTCGCAGGGCGGAGGGGAGAGCTCGGGCGTATTAGTCATCCTCCGACTTTTGGAAGCACTTGGCCGCGCCAGTGGGGTTTCGACAGCTGCTGGTGTACCGCCTCTTTCCAATAATTGTACATTCTGGCAGGGGTCAACTTACTTTTGACCCTCTGCCTTTGTGCCCGTCAAAAAGCCTTTTAGGGCAAACTGTGGGGAAGTGGCAGGGGTGCATTACATCCAAAATTAACGTCGGTAAATACGTATCAGATGCCAGCTCGCTCACAGGCAGGCTCCTGAATTCACACAGCCTTTTGCTCAGGCCTGCACGGGGGAGAAAAAGGGAGAAGGGGAGGGAAAACCCCATGACTGAGAAGATATTGTTATTCAAACGAAGCAGGCAGCTGAATGAAGCCACCTTGGCCAGCAGTTTGCATCGGGCTCCTGCTTTCTCCATCCGCCTTTCCATCCAAAATTGCCTGGCGTCATGCACGTGTTTGTTTATCTTTGGGGAGAAAAAAAGGTCTGTCTAACACAAAAGGCAAGAAAACATACCGTATGGAGGGGATTAAAGGAGTTAAGTTGCCCTGATGCTTTGCATACTTGCAGTTTTGTAAATGAGATCTGGTCACGGGACAATGCAGGGGACTATGAATGGGGATAAACAGTTGTAATGGAGAGTGTTCATGCATAGGGCTATCTATGCAATGATCCTGGTAACAAAGGTACTCATGACTACCTACTTACATGAAACGCTGTTAAGGAACCCATAAGTCACTTTGAAAATAATCTTTTCCGACAATTTTAAAGAAATTGGCATTGAAGGATAGAGAACTCCATGTCCCCGCTGGATGCTTGGAGAAAGGGAGGTGAAGAAGTTTGGGACATCCCATGCCAGTCGTTTCTACATCGCAGCTTTATTTGTCAGTCTTCATAGCATCATCCTGATTTTTGCTGGGGCACTCTGTGTCTTAAGAGAAGCATCCCTCAAAGGTCACTGATAGGCACTGAAATTGGTGCACGGCTCTCTGAAACACTGATGGGTTGTGGCTCAATCATGTCTCAGGAGATTGGTCCTACACAATATGATCATGCTGAATCAAAAAAAAAACCCAACAATTTATTGAAACAAGGGAGGTAGAAAGAAACGTCACACTGGGACATCTGGGATATTTTTAGGAGAAATATCCTTTGTAAATTACGATAATAACATTATGAGCTTTTTAAGTCTGTTACAAATATGAGCATATGGTGCCACAGCGTGGCACTGCTCCTTGGTTAAGGTCTCTGGGCAATTCTGGAATTGGCTAAAAAGCAGAGAAATGTTGTTTCCTTTTTGTTCACTTTTGAAATGTTTAAACCATTTTCTTTTGGAACAAAACAGAGTCTTGTCTTGCTCCATCTCCAGATTTCTTTTGTCTTTATTCTCAAATTGAAGTGCTTGACACAAACATTATTGAAAACATCACTGAAAGGATTATCAAACTTTTTATTTACCCCAAATACATTTTTCAGTAGACACAACTTTTATGGGGATGGGTCATCCTACTGACTTTGCTCAAGTTACTCGTGTGAGTTGTTAAGAGGGTCTGAGGTCCAGCCTCATAGTACTGCTGTGTCAGAAGCAGGTTTACAGTTTCCATAGTCCTTAAATAAAATAATTTGATTACACTTATTGTCTTTTCTAAATTCCTAAAGAATGATGTCACTTCCATTACACCCTGTGGGTTTCTGTAATTGCTTTGTACAGGAGAAAAAACAGGCCCTTAAGAATGTTTGTTTCTAATATTAAAATACAGAAAAAAGTAAACAAAGATATTTTCTGCAGCCTTATTGCTCAGGGGTAAAGGAGAATCCTAGGTGAAAGACCTAGAGAATGGAGTTAATTTGTTTGAGAGGACTGGCTGTACAGGCATGAGTCTTTTCTTCCAGCTAAATAAAACTCACCCTATATCAGTTTTTTCAGAAGATCTGTTGACCAGATGTGGACTGCTCAGTGGCCTCTGTGTAATGAAATGTCGGTTCTTAGCAAAGAGGTGCCCTTTGTAATGGACACAAAGAGGAAAATCAACCTTCTTCTGGTGGGTGAGCGCCTGTCCTTCTGGCATGGCAGCAGAGAGACCAGAGAATGTAGCAGCTGGAGAAATAAGATGATGAAATGTCCTTATAATCCTGTCAGGAATGGTGTTTGAGTATGTGATCTCTGCAGGAGGAATTTCATGCCTTTGTCTCTGTCTCTGCAAATATTAATCTGCTGTAAGCAAGAATCTTACCACCCCACCCCACCCTGCCATCTCTTCTCCTTACTGCAGTGTTCCTATGATACCATATTTCTGGGTACTTCTTATAACTGTCCCTGGTGGAGGATAACAAAACATCCTATCCCAGGTTCTCCAGTTTCTAGAGGTGTATCTCACTGTGTTGTTGATTGTGCTGTCTAAAAGTTTTGATTTCCCTGTGATGTATGTTAGCCCAATTGATGTTAAATAGCATAGACTTGCTTGTTATTTGTAAGTCAGGCTATTGGATCCATTTATCCTAGTTTCAGCCCTTCCTAATATCCACAGGCAAAATTCCCTGTCACTGCAAAGCTGATAAAAGACTAAGTTGCTCCTCCTTCATGTTCACTCAAGGAGCTCTAAACCAGAAGAAAGTTACCAGGAGTATCGTCAAGAAGGCCTATATTTATGAGTCACAGCCCAAACATCCAGGAAGAGCTGTAATAAGACAGAAAATTGATGACCCTTATAAAGGTTTTATACAACTAAACCCTGGAGCCTTATAACTACATTTTGTGAAGAGTCACCTTAATTCAATGTTTACTAATAACATCCTTCGTCTGTATTGCCTGTATCTCTTCCTGTCCCATACAGAAACAATGATAACATACTCGGCAGCAAAACGAAACAACCAGAAGGATTATGTCACTATAGTCTTGATTATTCCCAAGGCCTGTCTCTCTCCTGTTTTGATCAGTTTTTAGGAGCGTTTGTGGGAAATGGCAACAAAATACTACTGATTCACAACCGTTGCACTTTACACCCCATTGACGTAAATAATTGTGCGAGTTGCAGGGCTGTGGAAAACTCAACCTCCCTCTTCTGAACTCACGTGGAGGGTGTAAGTGACTTACAATGGTTTGAATTGTCATGTTCTGTGGTTGGATGACACTTCAAATATGAGAAACTTTTCTCCTTGCCCTGACACAGGACATGACTGTACTGAGTTAAGTCTTAACAGTTCCTTTCTTAGCTGTGTAAGGAGATTGAACCCCTTTATGAGGTCTATATAGCATATCGATCAAGTTTTATGTCCCCTCAGGATTTGATGAGAACAGCTTTCCTCTGAACAATACAAGCATCCTTAAATAGATGATTGCACTGTAGTGCCTGCAAAATTAAGCAAAAAACCCCAATGAACCTGACAAACGTGTCTATCAAAAAAAGGATAGTATCAGGTCTTGGTTCTCACGCTTTTCTTAAGACTGGTGTAAAACCTTTGACTCCAGATTGGCCTGCTATAAGTGAGAAGAGTGGGAAGGCCACCGTAGCCATAAAAGTACCTGTAGAAGAGAATTGTCTAAAAGCCACATGAACTCTGTGTCAAAGACTTTAAATTAGCATCTTCACGTCATTCTTTCTCCTCAAAGGTTCACCTTGTGGCCACCCAAAGACGTGATGCTGTTCAGTTTGAGCTCGATGTGATGATTTGGGGCAGATTGACTTGACTGATATGTGGATCAGATCACAGCTACCGTGGGGAGAGAAGGTGTCACTGAAGAACAGGGCTTAGGCACCTGATTACTAATTAATCAGATATGAGAAAAACCTCATGGAATCAGTTTCTATTTAATTATGGAAGCCTCATTTGGCATAGGAGCATATGCTGCTAACTCAATCGAGTGCTTTCAACTGACATCAAATAGTAATTATCAGAAAGAATCAAGTTTTTTGATTATTCATACTAATTTATTGAACACTTAAAATTAATGAACCTCAGTTATTTTAAATTTGCTCAGTTGCACTGGGAGAAAAGGAGGGAGGTAGGGAAGGACAGTTCTCACAATTTAAAAGTACAGAGACTTGTTTAAAGATAAAATAAGTAAATTACAATATGGCATGAAATCCCATCGGTGGGTTGATACACGCATAGGAAAGTTCCTGGCGTGTTCTGGAACTGAGGAAAGTTCTGACAATGGCTTCATTTATACAATTCTTCTACCACCAAAAAAATCTTCCGATGGCATTTTAGGGTCACCATAAGGGGTTGGGCAGTGGACAGGAGATTTGTGTTTGTCAGAATGTTTCTATTTTAACCTATGGTTGTTCCAGTCTGGTGACTGAAAGGAAGTGCCTTTGTATGCCACTGGAGATGGAGAGGAGGTAGCCTTTGAGCTGGATCTGAAGCAGTTTTCTCTTGCTCCTCTTAGTTCAATTTGCATTATCCTGGCCCTTCTCCTGCTGACAATATACTGGCACAAAGGTTACAACTGTGATAATTGCTTCTGACCTCTTTTCACAGTAGAGAACACAGGGTCCCTGTCTTCAGTCTATAAAGTCTGACTAATTAAAGCATTTCTTTCAGATACCAGATTTGGGGGGAAAAAAAAATCAAAACCAAACTACAAAACAAAAGCTCTAATTCGCTGTTTGAGCCAGTTAATACATTATGCATTCAATGGTGTGATATTGCTTGTGTTAGGGGAACTGCTGTGGATTTATAGAGGGATAAATGAGATTCATGTTCCAGCCTAGAATTTCTGATTGTTGAATGTTTTCTTTTAGCTGTTTCTAATGAGTTGTCTTGAGACCCTCTGTATCTGTAAATTAAAATGTTTGTTTAATCCTTTCTTAAAGTACAAAAAAGATAAAAATGCTTAGAAAATATGTATTATAGTTCTTTGTTAGAAATGTAAAATATTTTCAGAACATCATATGTAGCAATTGATTTATTATGATTTTTTGCTGTTGTTCATTTGTAAGGCCTTGCTGTAACTTCCTATGATTCTCTATGTTCAGTTACAGGAGCTGACTTAATTCAGGTCACACTGAAAGAGAAGGAAAGAGAAAAAACCTACTCCAGGTGCGTGACAGTCTGCGTCTGAAAGGCTTGGTCTGGGAGTCATACCATTTCTTTTCTACTACATTTTCAGAAATAAATTACTATTTTTCACTTCAACATTTTGTACATCTATCAACCCAACAGAGGTTCTTGGCATTCATCTAAGTATTTAATTGAAACATATCTATCATTTCTGATAATAGATGTGTTATTCCACAGCATTCCATCCATAGATGTGTTATTCCAAAGGCTCTAAACTTTTGCTAAGAAATACCATAGCGGATCAGAAAGGTTATGGAGAATGTAAGACTAATGTCTATTTTAGTGCTCCATCGTGATCTGAGTGTAATAGTCTGACATTACTCCACAGTTACATGTCGAGTCAGACGGAAAAATGCACGAGAGACAACGGAGACCTCCAAAGTTTGGTCTTAGTTTCTTAGCTGCCTTGTTGCATATTAACAACAGTAATCATTTATGTGGCAACAGGATTTAGAGACCTTTTTGCAGAATGTTTCCCCCTGAGCAAACAAGTAATGGAAAGACAGACTCAGCCTTAAGGAGCTTCACCTGGATTTAATTTCTGTGCTGGCAATGGAGGGTTTGTCTACTCCACTATGTTACTGAGCTGAGTCTAGCCCCTCCACGCTTAGGCATGAGCTTGCCCCTGCGTTTTCAATATCCAGTGAAGCTCTTCTCAAGAAAAAAAAACAAGCCAGAATTTCCTTGACATTGGTAGGGCAGAGGTAGGTGCTTGTAGAGGCCTCCAGAGGGAGGCCCTGCCTGCGTTAGTTTAGAGCTTACTAAACTCAGTGCAGAGGATTTCCCCCTGAAGGCTTTCTTTCTTCTCTTGGTGGCAGAACAAACTTAGGAAATTAATTTATGAAGACTGGCTCATTAGCTGTCTAAAATACAAGTCCAAGTTAAGCACCTACATTTTGTGAACTTAATTTGTCCCAACGTTTTCCTGATGTTAAGGCTCAGAAGTTTCCTTTTGAAGTGAGCTGAAAAATAAATCTTTGAGGAATGAGCAGGAGTTGCCATATGTCTCAGTCAAGGTGGTTTTCCAAGACAGGTCTTTGTTACCCCATGCAAGAGGAAGACTCCTGCTTTTCTGAGGGCTAACAAGCTAGTGAGAGTTGGTCACTCATTTTTTAAAATCTTTCATACTTTGGGAAAGTATGGAAATTCCCACACTGGGAATTCAATCTGCTTTCTAGAGCACAAGGGGAGAAAAAATGCATGAGAAGAGTTGGCACTTTCTGGTAGGGTTAGTTACCATTTTCATCATCTAGTTTTACCATCAAGCACAGGTGATTGGCTTTTATTCTCATTTGTTCGTCTTAATTTTGTGTTCAAAGTGCTCAGAGCTTTGGATGGCATAAATCAAAATAATGAAGCAGTTGCTTGTGAAGCATATTCACAAGGCGTAACATAAGCTAAGCATGACAAACCTCAAGATTTGCTTTGCTTTTGATGGATCCCAGAGAATTTGAATCTGTTTTTTTCAGTTATCTCCCTACCCTTTAACTCTGAAAACATGGTCCTGGGAGAGATCTTTTTTCCCATCAGGCAGTTTCCTTTAAGCATGGAAGATAACAAAGAGCAGTTAGTGTTGCTTCATCAGTGACAAAAGGAGGATGTTAATGCCACAGATGCTTGACTATCAAAGAAATGGTAATTCTCCCAGCTGCTGAAAATGATAATTCTATCTTTGTATTTCCTGTTTTGTAGTTCCTTCTGACTCTGTCTTGAAATGGTCACACCCAGAGACATGGAATGATGTGGAAAAAGGCTGGGGTGGATCCAACTGCAGCATCCCAGGCCCTGGGGAAGACGTAATCATCTTACCTAGTAAGGAAGGATGGAAAGGTGTTTGAGTTCTATAGGGGTGCTGGGGTCTGTCTACGCTGGAATACCTATTTGTGTTGCGATGGGGGTTCCTTGGCACTAGTGTCCATTCTAGTGTGTGCAGGACAGCATATTTGTTCCTCACCACATCGAAATCTTGACTACAGTACAAAAGTGTAATTTTTGGAAGAGAATAATCATTCTTTTCCACTTACAAATGCACACAAACGCACACACACTTATTTACTCATACTGATATTCAAGCTTAATTGTATACAGGAACTTTATTTCCAGAGCAGAGAATTTGCAAGACTCAAAATCACAGGTCACAAAGAGCTCATCTCTTGACTCACCTCTTTGCGTTTTGTGCAGGAAGCATATTTAACATTTCCACAATTATATCACCTTCCATTTTATTTTCCTTTTCAATTCTCACTACCAGTAATAATCTCTCAAGCCATTTGCCATGGATGCCTCCTAGATGTTTTAGCCTATACATGTATTTCAACCTCAGACTTTGGGTTATATTTAAGTTACAGCTAAGTTTACAAGCTAGCAAAAGTATCAGGCAGCTTGCCAGAAAATCTGGAGGAGAAAAGCTGTGATAACCATTTTACCTGGTAGCTGACCGTGATTGGGAAATGGGACTAGATGATCTCCTGAGGTCCCTTCCAGATGTAATTATTGTTATGATCTTATGAATACAGTGTGGTATGTTTCTGAAATACTCTGGGACCTGATTCTGACTTCTCCTCATTTGTTTGAAACCAGGTAAGTCTCTCTGCCTAACAGCTCCGCTTCTGGATATGGGGATAACACTGCTCCATGTCTCTTCCTCTTCCACCCACTTTTGGCTTATGAAGTCTTTGTTAAAGGAAGTTTCTATTGCTTTGTGTTGGCATTTGGTCATGAAGGCTCAGTCATGGATAGGAGTTCTCTGTCCTATGTCATTAAAAGTAATATTTCAGGTTAAATTAGGAATTATATTCAACCTTCAATGAGTATTTAGTTTAATCTTCATTTTTTTTACAAATGCTAAAAAACCTCAACGTTGTTTGAAATAATACTTTTTCTTCTCTTTTTTGGGGAACTTACATTAAACTGAATATTAGCTAATTACCATTTTCTGATTAGGCCCCTATTTCGTATCCAACAAGCACAATTTGCTTTTTTCAGTTCTGTCATCTCATTAGCTATAATGCATAAATGGGGTAAGTTCAGAGGCCAGAGAAGGCACAGAAATTCCCTCCAGGGGTTTGCTGATCTCCTGTAGGTCCTGTGTCCTGTAAGCATCTAAAGTAACAGTAAACATATATGTTTAGGCATCTTAACTTGTTCCTTGTCATTACAGTTAGTAGAAACGGAAGAGTTACTGAGCTGACCAAATGTGGGTATCTAGAGTGAACTGAGTTGTTCTTTAGGATAGACTGGTGGTATTAGGTAGAGCTCCAGGGCTCAAGTCACTTGCTTATAGGAAGGTATCTAGTATTGTTTGAAGCATTCCAGAAACATCTTACGTAGCCAGGTGAAACCCTAGGTTGTCACAGGTGCCCCCTATGTCATGTCTGCCAGTCCTGTGTGAGGTCTCAAATACCCAAGGGCATTTTGGATAGTACTAAAGGCCTAAATGAATTTACTATGGTGGGAGATTAGACACCTAGCTCCCATCAGGCAGCTCAGTTCAGGTGCCATAAATTGAGGCCTGAACCTCATTTCTCCAGAGCATGTTTGAGAGCACCTGAGATATGAGCCTAGCTTGCAGTTAATGTATGTCCTCTGAACCACACTGTGAAGGTCTACATCTATTTCCCTTGGTGATATAAGCAACACTAACATCCATTCCTGTGGGAAGCTGTACCAGAACAAGGCATTGACTCCCAGTTTCCCAAGTTCAAGTTCAGCACCCAAAACACTGGACTTGCTTTCCTTTTCCAACAGCATTAGTCCAGCTGTGCCACTGGTACTTAGTATTGAACATGTGTCAGCTTTCCATTCGGAAACACAGAAAGTGCCCTTTCTGTCCTATACTCCCTGTTTCCAGCTCCACTCTCACCTCTGTTATATCTGACTCCTTGTCCAGGCATTAAACAGTGAGACATTTCTCAGGTGCTTTGCTCTCTTTTGGATCCTCTTGCCGTGGTTGGATTTCGCACACCATTGCGTATTTTGTCCTTCACAGCTCTTTGAGAACAAGGCTAGAGACAACACCAGATCATCTGTTTCAGCTTCTTGTGTATCACGTTATAACCAGCTCACCAGTATCAGCCCATGATTGTCAAAAGACCAGATCATTTCAGTCTTCAAAATCATGTGTCAGATGCAGATGTGAAGAGACACAAGGGTGCCACTGGTAGCTGAGGCCTCTGCACTCACAGTGAGTTAATTATGTAGAGTGTGATCAGATGGTCACAAGAGGTAAATCACAATTTACACAGAAGCAGAAGGTAAAAACTAAAAAAAAAAAAAAAGGTTAAAAAAAAAAGGTTTGGGTAAGGATTTGGCGTTCTGTTGTTTAAATTAGAGTAAGAGAGCGGGAGCTGGATGCTGAGATTGTGACAGTCATAGAATCATAGAATCATAGAATGGTTAGGGCTGGAAGGGACCTTCAAAGGTCATCTAGTCCAACCCCCCTGCAAGGAACAGGGACATCTCCAACTAGATCAGGTTGCTCAGGGCCTCGTCCAACCTGGCCTTGAACGTCTCCAGGGATGGAGCATCCACCACCTCTCTGGGCAACCTGTTCCAGTGTTCTACAACTCTCATGGTAAAAAATTTTTTCCTAATATCCAATCTGAATCTACCTCCCTCAAAGTCCTTTGGTGCATTGCAAACTCACCTATGAACAAAACTCTTCTGTGCTTCCTGCAAAGGTAAGCATAATCCTTTCAATAAAATAACTCATTCTAGCTGCCACATGAGATATTGATGAGATATAAAATGAGATATTGTGCCTTTGTCACATACTACAAGGCCCTTCATGACTAAGCTGTGCCTGAAGCATTGCACATTGCTGCCCACAACCCAGCCCAACGGATCTGGTTCTAGCACTGGAAACAACGCCGTTGCATCAGCGTGCTGCTATACCAGAACTAATTAGCTCTCCTGAGAGGCAAAGCTCATTAGCTCGGGCCTGGCGCTGTGCAGCATGACCGCAAACTCTTCGAGGTCAGAATTAATGTATCCTGAATTTAGAGCAGTGATGGTTTGGTCAGTTTAACTGGGGAATGTCTGCACTGTGCTGAAGGATGTGGTATAGAGATTCTCTCTAGCATACTGGTGTCTCCTGGTTGGGAGGTAGCAGGATAAAGGTTGGACTATTAGACATGATCTGTGTTTTACCGTGGACAGGAATGTTTTCTGTCTATGAGGAATTGAGGGTCTGGGACAATAAAGGTTGCCCAAAACGAGAACATAAGATGTTGCCTGAGCAGGATGAGACCCTGGGATTTCCCAGTTCTGAATCACCATGTTCGACTTCTTAGAGCAGGGTGCTCCACAGTGTACAACAAAACTTCAGAGTGCTCCTCTTCGGAGGAGCTTTACTGAACAGCAAAACCACAACAAAATACTCACTGGATGAAAAGGAAAGAGACAAATGATGAATGAAAATGCACTGCTTGCTAGGACCAGTGGAGAGCCGTACTCTGTGACTGTCTTCTTTCTATCAGCAATAAAATTCTTAGTTCCTATCACTCGAGAAGATATGTGTGTTTAGTTGGTGAGCAGAAATTATTGTCCTCTGCAGCGACTTTCTGGAATTATCCTTCAATTTTAGCTCAAGAACATGAACACAAACATGAACACAAACTGTCTATCACCCAACCAATTTTGAGAGAGAACTACCCTATTTCTTGCCTGCCTTTTCTGATCACCCTCCCTCTACTTTCTTTTTACTCTGAATCTTCATTCTTGCTGGCTTGGAGGTGTTAAAACACTTACTGACAGTGAAAGTCAACAGAGTGTAGGGTCTTAAATTGGAGTCATAGTCATCATTGATGTGATAAGGGTGCTGGATGTGTTGTTCAAATGAAGGCACCTAAAATCTAAAATCTAAATAAGCAAGATGAATTTTCAGTCCATTTGTCATACCTTGCTTTGCTGTCACAAACGTGTATATGAGTTTTCAGTTGCAAGAAAGTCAACCCCTTTCTTGGGTCCAAAATCTAAAATGAAATCATTGGTTTTCAAATTTATGTTTAATTGTGGCATTTTATGGATATTTCCCTTCCCATTTCCACCAGCTTGTGCATATCCTGCTAAACTCAGAATGACTCCAGATGGCTACAGAAAAGTGAGTTTGTTCTTATGAGAACAAACATTCTGCAAACCACCTAGACTTTGTTCTGCTGTACACACCAAAATAAGTTTTTGCGATTCACTCCTGGCTAGATGCATCTGGGTCTCACTCTCCACTATCTTTTAGTTACTTATCATTCTCTTCTGGGAGCCATCCATAATGATTTGCAGGTTGAAAGCCAAGCCATGGGCTACTCCTTGTATGGTGCGCATTGCTGGTAAGTCCTTTCAGCCCCCAAAGAACGGGTTTAGAGTCTATAAGAACAAATAACAGATATTTAGTGCTTATTTATAGTGTGAAGAAATGCAGGAGAAGACTTTGGTCCAGGTCTGACACTGTGTTGAAATATCTGAATGAACACAAATTCCTAGAGTTCACTGAAGAGCTGCGGCACTGCCTACACTTAGCTAATGAAGGCTTCTATCTGCTTATTTAACAAAATAAGCAAAATTTTATTACTAGGGCTGCCTCATGGGCTGGACTCAGGAAAGTTTGAAAAGGTAGAAAACAATTCTATTAGCAAAGTGTTTGTATTAAAAGCCAGATTTTTGTGCTGCTGCTTGGTGTCTGCTTGACATCTAGAGGGTGCTTTTTGGACAGCTTGGAAATTGGAGTTGTGTACTAAGTTATACCATTTTTTGCCCTGTTTTGAAAACATGGATGAGACTTCAGGAGTTCGTAGACCTCTTTGGACAAGGATAAATTTCACTTGCAACAGAGGTGGGTCCCTCATGTTAAAGTGACTTTTAGCATTGGTGTGTTGCAAGTGCTCTCAGTATCTGGCTCCCTGATGGATATATAAGTCTTTTCCAGCCCCAGCTGGAAATCTTTAGCTCAGGCTGCAACAAGTTGTGCTTTTATCTCTGGAGGTTTGTCCTCCAGAGCGGCAGTCATCCCACAAGGACCTCTCACAAGCATCAGACTTCAGACTTTGCACCACCTTGAAAAACAAGCCGGATGAGTTTAGTCATGCCGTTCTGGTGGCCAGCATGGCATTAACTTCTCAAGCCCTCGGATTTTCAGGGCTTTGGTTTATGGTTCTCAGGGTGACACGCTCCTGACGCAGCACGCTCTGGGTGAAAGGAGAACATGTTATAATTCTGGGCAACGGAATGCTGTTTTGAAGGGTATTGATATGATATCATGTAGCCTCTGGCAATTTCTCTCTTTTTTTTTTTCTTTCTTTTTTTTTTTTTTCTGTGGTGGAATTCACTCTGTTATTCATTTTCAGATTTTGATTTTCTTTGAACTTTTTCTGTTTGAAGAGATGAATGCTGGAGTACTGTATCTCATATAATAGCTCTTCTGTTGTGCCTGATTTCCATTCAATGGCATGCTATGGTGTTTTATATAGCGATGCAGTTGATCAAAGGTATTTTGTGTCATTGCTGGAGTCATTAGCAACTTCTCAGCATTGTACATCTGAACATTAAGACCGTAGCATACCTGTGAGCTTTTGTCTGAAGAAAGTGTATGTATAATGAAATGTAGTCCTATTTTCAGGCTCAAACTATGGTTTACTGAAAGTGGTTGCTTGCTATTATATGAACATCTTTATAGGAGAAAAAAAACTCTGGTGTGTTTTCTTCTAAAGGTAAACCCCTTGATTTCAATGACCTAAAATGTATGATTTTAACCCCTTAGGTATCATCTCCCTCTACTACATAAATAAGTGTATTCCGTAAGGACCGTGTAAGGAAGTCTCTTTTAAATCTGTTTGCTTTTCTTTTCCAATGTGGAAGGGCATTTTTTTCTCAAAGGAGTGTTCTGTTTTTTCTATAGACCAACATTTCACCCTCCGAGGGCTTCACGCCCCAAGCATCACACCCCAAAGTGCTGTTCTTTTAACTGAGGAAAGCACAGGTTTGCAGAGATATCTCTGAATGGGGGAATTTCTCACTCCTGAGTTTCAAGGCTCGCATACGTGATGCTACAGTTACAGGGCAGTCAGCATTTCCTTTATAAAACCTTCTTTAGAAAGATGTGCAACTCAGCAAAAATATCTGTTTTAGACTGAAACTTGACATATAAACACTATGCCTAGGAGCGCTTCTTCTTTTCCGTGTAAAAATGTTTCAGTCTGTGTTTGATGAATATACTTATGGCCTTTGTCAACTGCAGCTTTTTGCCACATTTTTGAGCTGTGATTTCACAAACTAGATTCCCCTTCTGTCTGAGAGATATCATTTTAACAACATCTTCCCTCTTATTCTCTTCTCTCTGCTTCATATCTTCACATACTGTGTCTTCACTTCTCAGCTCTGGAGGGCATAGAACTATACCTGTCCAGTAAAGAGATTATATACAGGAGTTTCTTCATGCCAGTAAAAATGTATCAAGTACAAACAGTATGAGATTTAGAGAAAAAAAAAGAAAAGATTGCGCTTGCTCTATAGGAATTTATTACATCTGAATGCTGTGAGAATTTTGCGTACTTGAAAGATGCTTCAGCCCAAGGATGCAGGGAATATCTTTTGAGATGGGGTTTTCAGAGTGACCAGGGGTTGCTACAGTACTTGACAAAATCCTTCAGAACAGAGGACCTGGGCTTTCAGGGTGTCCCTTGCTGATGTCCAGAGAGAAAGAAGAAAAAAAGTGGATAAGGAAGAAGTGGGATGATTAAGTTACAGGGATAGTGTAGGAACATGTATGTAGAAGAGAAGAACAAATCTACAAGCAGAACCAGGACCTCGGACCGTGCAGAAGTGTTCTCTCCCTTGAAACTGTGAAACTTCAGGGCTGCAAAACTAAAGAGTCAAAAACTGGGAAATGCTATGATTAAGGACAGCCTACTCATATTTTTTTTTCAGTCCGCTTCTGAGTGTACTTTGTGTAGATTTTGGTCAAAACAGGGCTTGGAAAAATTCTTAAACCTTTGTGCTAAATGGCTTGAGTCAGCCCCTAATTACATGTTTTGAGGAAAGGACTTTCACTGTCCTACCTATTACGTAGTTGTTTGTGTCTTCATCCAAAGCAATTGCTAATGACTATAGGCAGAAGCAAAACTGTGAAGCAGCTGATCCACTTCCTGAGACACTACATGGCTCTTTCTATGTTCCACACCAAAACTGTTTCAAGTGGACCATTCTCACCACTCTGTCAAAATCCATTGGAAAATATGTGTATTCCTTATTTTCTCCTGTTTCGTATATCTCTGCCTTGCAATAAATACATATGAGATCTACAAAAGACACAGCAAATCTCTGGGCAGAATTTGGCAGTTGCCATTATGTTGAATATTCTTATTTTCCGCAAGCTGTTTTATGAAAGTCACAATTAGATCATCTCATTGAACCCTTTGTTAAGGAAATACCTTGCTTTTCCTTCTTCCAGGGGAACCCACTGACTCAGAGATGCACCATACCAGGAGACTGTTACTCTTGTCAGTAAGAAAAGGAGCTGGAAACCACAATTTAAGGACCTGAGCTGGTTTCCAGTGCAATCAACTGAAAAGCTCTCAGTGACACCAAAGAGCATTATATGGGCCCTGAGGGTGGAATTCACCTCTGTGCAGTGGGCTACTTCTAAGTGATGCACCATTTAAGTCTGTCCTCATGTCCTACTTGGAAAGCTTGTGTTTAAAAGGTTCACAGGTTGCAGACTTGCAGCTTTAGGAGGCAGTGGTGATGTTGTCATGCTCAATCAACAACAGTCCCCACTCTGTTCTGTAATGTAAAAATAGACTCCTTGGTTTGTCCTTAAGGATCTGAGGGAATGGTGCTTCACCTGGTCACAGTTACTAAACTATTAGTAGGGAATGAGTAGTCCTGTGAATGAAGAATTGGTGAATCATAGAATCATTTAAGTTGGAAAAGACCCTTAATGATAATATTGAGTCCAATCGTAAACCTGACACTGCCAAGTCCATCATAAACCATGTCCCTAATTGCTACGTCTACATGTCTTCAGGAACCTACCTTCAGGAATGGTGTTTCCACCACTTCCCTGGGCAGCCTGTTCTCGTGCTTGACAACCCTTTCAGTGAAGAATTTTTTCCTAATATCCAATCTAAATCTTCTCTGGTGTAACTTGAGGCCATTTCCTCTCATCCTATTGCTTGTTACCTGGGAGCAGAGACCGACCCCCACCTCGCTACAACGTCCTTTCAGGTAGTTGTAGAGCGTGATAAGGTCTCCCCTCAGCCTCCTTTTCTCCAGGCTGGACATCCTCAGTTCCCTCAGCCTCTCCTTATAACACTTGTGCTCCAGACCTTTCACCAGCTCCATTGCCCTTCTCTGCAGATGTTCCAGCACCTCAATGTCTTTCTTGTAGTGAGGGACTCAAAACTGAATGCAGTATTCAAGGGCGGCCTCACTAGTGCTGAATACAGGAGGGTGATCATTTCCCTAGTCCTGCTGGCCACAAGCCAGGATGCTATTGGCTTTCTTGGCTACCTGGGCACTCTGCTGGCTGATATTCAGGTGGCTATGGATCAATACCCCCAAGTGTTTTTCCTCTGGACAGCTTTCCAGCCACTCTTCCCCAAGCCTGAAACGTTATATGGGGTTGTTGTGACCCGAGAACAGGATCCAACACTTGGCCTTTTTGAACCTCGTACAGTTGGCTTTGACCATCGATCCAGCCTGTCCAGATCCCTCTGTAGAGCCTTCATACCCTCTGGCAGATAAACGCTCCTGCCCAATTTTATGTCTTCTACAAACTTACTGAGGGTGCACTTGATCCCGTAGTCCAGATCATTGGTAAAGATATTAAACAGAACTGGCCCCAACACTGAGCCCTGGGAAACATCACTTTGTGAAATCTGGCTTCCTGCAAATCGTGTTGATATAGGCAAAACTTTCCTCTTGCTTCGAGAGGAAGAGGTGAGCTTTTGTACACAAAACCTGAGGGAGCAAAGCCAAACTGCAGAGATGGAAAAGCAGTGACAGGGTGTCATTGGAGGTGGGTTGTGGTGTGTGGCTTCAACTTGTCGTCCTGATCACTGCCGTTAACAAGGTGGGGACTTGCAGGCTCTCTGTGCCATGAAGCACTCATTTGACACCATTGGATTTTTTCGCTTCTATCTATCTTGTTCTCTTCAATCATAGAATCACAGAACAGTTTGGGTTGGAAGGGACCTTAAAGATCATCTAGTTCCAACCCCCTGCCATGGGCAGGGAAACCGTCCACTACACCAGGTTGCTCAAAGCCGTATCCAACCTGGCCTTGAACACTTCCAGGGATGGGGCATCTACAGCTTCTCCAGGCAACCTGTTCCAGTGCCTCACCACCCTCAGAGTGAAGAATTTCTTCCTTATATCCAATCTAAATCTCCCCTCTTTCAGTTTAAATCCATTGCCCCTTGTCCTATCACTACATACCCTTGTAAAAAGTTCCTCTCCAGCTTTCCTGTAGGCCCCCTTTAAGTACTGGAAGGCTGCTATGAGGGAAAATTCTGTCTGGGCACCGCGTAACTTAGTCCTGATTCATTGCATTGAGTGATCAAGATTTACTTGCATAAACAGAGCCAGATTCACCTGGAGAGTCTAACATTTCTCTAACTTGCTGCCCTTCACATGCATTCTTAAAGGTTCAAGCAACGTTTGCTTTTTGGCAAATAGTGTTGATAGGCTGCCATCGTTCTAAATAACCCTCTGCTTTGTTTCTCAGACCGGACCGTCCTGGTGGATATGGCTCTTCCCCCTCTGAGAGGTCTCTACATCCTGGGAACCCTCGAGTTCCCCAGCAACTCCAGCAATGTCCTGAGTGCAGCCTGTATCGTGGTGGTGGGGGGTACGCTGAAAGTGGGTAAGTAAGCAACTCGTCTTCTGGATGCCTGGGGTTTATTTCTGCTCTTGATAGACAGAAAAAGAAGGTGATATTGTGTTACTATAAACATGCTGACCAGCCATCCTAATGCCACATAGCTATCTGGGTGTCTGCAGTGTGAACACCTATGATCCATGTTAAGCACAATGATTATCCACTGGAGCTAATTACCTGTTCATTTAATAGCAATATATTACAAATACTGCTGTTCTCACCCCACTGAAGTCAATGGCAAAACTTCTCATTTCCTCATGGCTGAGATTTTATCTGATATGTGTAAAAGTCCTCCCTACTTCATGTGAGGTTGCTTTATGAGACAGTAGTTCTTCAGGGCAGGATCTACTCTAGTGTTCAGACAGTGCCTGGCATCTGTGGGTATTAGTAAGGCACTTTCTAGGTGACACAGAAGTATTTAAAGCCAACATAAACAGAGTCATGGAGAATCTCCAGAGTGCCTGGAAATCCCACTGTGCCATGAAATTGGCACAGCTGGATTCAGCACTTTTGTTCCTCTCGTCCCTCTGTACAGATGAGCTCCAGGACTTCAAGCAGGTACCACCTTGCCCCTACTTCTAGTGGTTTCTGAGTCTCCAATGTCACTGGGGCTGTTCCACATTATTGCAATGGACGAGATCAGTGTTTTTCCACACAGAAGTAATTACTCACATAATTCCCTTTAAATATCAAGGTTCGTAAAGCCAGGCATTATATTTACTTACAGGAATCCTTAGGACGCTCGGATCACATTGTTGATCACTGCTTGACCTTTCTCAAGATTGGTTTCATGAACTTTAAAAAGAGAATTTGTTTGTGTAATCACCTCCTGAGGAAGTCTGCTCCAATATTTGTTTGTTGTTAATCTCAAGGGACTGTTTAGTTAATACAGTACTGGCCAAAAGAGTTATTTTGCTGCCTTGTGTTTTTCTTTGGAAAAAGGGGCTTGGAAGCCTAATCTGGGAGGTTAATATATATATATATATATATGTACTTAAAAGAGTCTCAGTGATTTCTTACTTATAGTCTTTTGTAGATTAAATGTGATTTGATAGTGGATTTAAGAAAAAGCATGTGTTCGTTGCTAAAAACACTTATTAAAAAACATTGAGGCACTTCTTTGCTGCACAAACTCCCCTCCAGCACATTTGTGAGTAGTAATGATATTAAAAGCCAAACAGGTATTTGCAGCTGTTGAATCATAGTCCAGCATCTTCTGGAGAGGTATCCTTGCTCTAGTTTCAGCTGTGAGATGACAGGTGGGTAAAGACTGTGAAAGTTTCCCACATCTTATACCGGCTTCTATGCCCACTTATAAAACTGGGAGTGCATGCTTTTTTTCCCCCTTCCTTTTTCTCTTCCCATGTGTTCAAGGCCTAAAGGTAACTTCTTGGAGCCCATCTGTCTGATCCTGACTCTTCCATGCCTAAAGGAAGGTTTTGAAGCCCATCTGTCCAATTTTACCACACCCCAAAGAAATCCTGACACAAAATAGATAATGAGACAGTTTAGTAAACAGATTTAATAGATGTGGACATCAGCATTGCCTGAGCAGGATCTGAGGTTGACATCACGTGAGTCAAATCCCCAGGTCCTCCCTGTTGTGTAACTTCTCCATGCCCTGTTTTCAGCATAGCAATCTTTGGTCACATGCAGTTGCTTCTAATTTGGTGGCCTGGACTAAAGACTTTCTAGTATACCTGAGTATTTTGTTCACTTAAATTGCTAGAGAACAATGATAAGTTCTACAAACATATCTTGGACCTTGGTGGCCTTCAGAGAACTTGACATCATATCTGCAGGGAAACAACAAAGTCAAATGGTTCAAACAAGACTAAATGTACACAGGAACTGAGCGATTATGAGAAATATATAACAAAGGAAAAAAATCAGTATAAAATCAGAGTTTATGAAACTTCAACCAGAACCTAATTAATTTTATTAAAACAATAATTTGCAGAGAAACCAGGATGAGAAAACACAATGAGAGTTGGGAGATAAGAATTCTTGGGGCACCTTTGTTCCTGGAGGATTTGTTATCACTTTCCTCTTCAATGTATAATCACAATCCAGTGTGAATTATGATCAGCAGAATCACTGGGAGATGCGAGATGGTTAAAATTCTGTAAAGGGCTTCAAGGACTCTGTCAGAGCCCAGAAGTAAAATGTGTGGATCTATTCCCACAGTAATTTTTTGGGGTTTTCCTAGCCCTTCAGTGGTTTTGGACCCAGGAAGACTTTCTAATTACTTCTTCTCAAGTAGTTCTAGCTCCCAGATAAGGAGCTTCTCTCTTTCACTTAAACTTTCAAAGTCTTTTCTTTGATGGTGATATTTTAGAAACACCATTTATTGCTACCTCCCTGTGTTGCCATGCTATAAAAAAAATCAGATATTTTTCCAGTTTATAGAAGGAGAATTTGAGGTTCAAAATTAAGTGATTTGCTAAATATCATGAGCAAACTTGTGTCAGAATAAGAAAGGAAATGTTGAGCTCAATGTCTCAGAGGGTTTTTTTTTGTTCTCTGCTAGGATGGTTCAATTCGTTTTCATGCATAAGTCAGCATTAAAGCACAGATGAAATGTACAGAAAGTGCCCTGTTCCACTGCTGAACAAGCCCTCAGCTCCTGATAAGGCTGCAAAAGATGCTGAAGTTCGTTTTGCACAAATTGATCCATTGGACTCATCCTGAACTCCACTGTACTCAGCTGTTTTTTGCTGGCAGGCTCTTTTTGCTTTTTATAGTAGAACTCGCAAAGTAATTATCCAGATAGGATTTCTCTTTTTAGTCTCAACTTGTCACTTTCTCTTTTTGCATATCTTGTGATAGCTGCTTGTCAGTCATGTCACTCATTTGAGGCAAGAAGCCTAAGGTCATCATTAGCTCATGGCTTGGTTGTCTGGAGGTGAAACTCCAGACGTTTCTGATGTCTCTTATCTTGCTTGTGGTAAGAGAGCTCTAATACGTTCACGTCCCTTCTCTTCAATACTAGTAAGAACCCCCATATTGATATTGACTTCCCAAAGGGTAAATCACTGTACTTGATGAAGTGGCCATGTGTTAGTGATGATTAATGCTCAGTCTTATAATGATAATTAGGACATAAGTGAGTTTCACCAATTGACTATCTTTTCCAACTTCTCCAGTACCTCTATTGTGTCCCATCTTCTTTAGCTATGATCTGAGTCCCATTTTGCCGTCATATAGCATCCCTGCACAGCTATTCAACTTGTATGAAGATGGAATACTGTGAATGTACTGAGAGCAATTTTTCATCCCTGATCACAGAAAAAAATGGTTTGAAAAGTTCATTGCACCATCTGCATCCCCTTCAATTCATCTCTCAGCCTCCGTCTGTTTAGTGTTTACCCTTTCCAAGCCACTTGGTTTCTTGTAACTGATTGTATCATCTAGGGAAGTAATTTGGTTCATATGTTTAAGACATCCAAATTTAGGCATAATCTGTGGACATCAGCATGGGAGCTGGCTGTTTCAGTAGACATCTAGTCAATATAGTCAATGGAGCCACTGCAGTAAGTGGGACTGGCCCATGCACGTATCTGAAAAAACTTAGTCTACACTGTATTGTCTGATCTTTGTTAGCTCAGGCAGACAGTGAACATGGAAACATCTGCATTAAAAAACCTAAATCTAGGTGTCTGATTCTCCCTGGAAACATGGAATCGTAGAGTTGCTTGGGTTGGACAGACTGTTAAGATCATCAAGTCCAACCGTTAACCATTGCCAAGTCCATCATAAACCATGTCCCTAAGCACCATGTCTACACGTCTTCTAAATACCTCCAGGGATGGTGACTCGACCACTTCCCTGGACAGCCTGTTCCAGTGCTGGATAACCCTTTTGATGTTTTTCATAATATCCAGTCTAAACCTCCCCTGGTGCAACTCGAGGCCATTTTATCTAGTCATTGTTGTGACCTGAGTGCAGGACCTGACACTTAGCCTTGTTGAACCTCATACAGTTGGGCTCGGGCCATCAGTCCAGCCTGTCCAGATCCCTTTGTAGAGCCTTCCTGCTCTCAAGCAGATCAACACTCCCACCCAACTTTGTTTTGTTTGAAAACTTACCGAGAGTGCACTTGATCCCCCGATCCAGATCATTTGTAAAGATATTAAACAGAACTGTCCCCAGTACTGAGCCCAGCAGAACACCACTTGTGACCAGCCACCAACTATATTTAACTCCATTCTTCACAACTCTCTGGGCTTGGCTATCCAGCTAGTTTTTTACCCAGTGAAGCGTCCATCCATCCAAGCCATGGGCAGCCAATTTCTCCAGGAGAATGCTGTGGGGTATGACGCCAAAGGCTTTACTAAAGTCTAGGTAGGCAGTGTCCACAGCCTTTCCCTCATCTACTTTAAGCAGGTCACCTTGTCATAGAAGGAGATCAGGTTAGTCAAGTAGGACCTGCCTTTCATAAACCCGTACTGACTGGGTCTGATCACCAGGTTGTCCTGAACATATCACATGATGGCACTCAAGATGATCTGCTCCATAACTTTCCCTGGCACCGAAGTCAGACTGACAGTCCTGTAGTTCCCTAGAATCCTCCTTCTGGCCCTTCTTGTAGATAAGCATTGCATTTGCTCACTTCCAGTCAACTGGGACCTCCCTTGTTAGCCAGGACTGCTGATAAATGATAGAAAGTGGCTTGGTGAGCACTTCTGCCGATTCCCTCAGTACCCTTGGGAGAATCCCATCTGGCCTCACAGACCTGTGTGTGCCTAAGTGGTGTAGTAGGCCACTAACCATTTCCCCTTGTGTTATGGGGGCTTCATTCTGCTCCCTGTCCCTGTCTTCCAGCTCAGGGGGCTGGGTACCTGGAGAACAGTTAGTCTTACTATTAAAGACTAAGGCAAAAAAGGCATTAAGTATCTCTATCTATCTTTTTCCTCATCCTTTGTCCTTATGTTTCCCCCTGCATCCAATAAAGGATGGAGATTCTCCTTAGCCCTCCTTTTGTTGCTAATGTATTTATAAAAACATTTTTTATTGTCTTTTACAACAGGAGTCAAACTAAGTTCTAGTTGGGCTTTGGGCATTCTAATTTTCTCCCTGCACAACCTCACAACACCTTTGTAGTCCTTCTGAGTTGCCTTGCCCTTCTTCCAAAGGTCGTAAAGTTTTCTTTCTTCTCCTGAGTACCAGTCAAAGCTCTCTGTTCAGCCATGCCAGTTTTCTTCCCCTCTGGCCCATCTTTCTGCACATGGGGATGACCTGTTCCTGTGCCTTTAGTATTTTCTTCTTGAAGAATGTCCAGCCTACCTGAACTCCTTTGACCTTCAGGACTGTCTCCCAAGAGACTTTTTCAACCAGCCTCCTAAACAGGCCAAAGTCTGCCCTCCAGAAGTCCAAGGTAGCAGTTCTGCTGACCCCTCTGCTTCTCCAAGAATCAAAAACTCTATCATTCCGTGATCGTCATGCCGAAGACGGCCTCCAAACATCACATCACCCACAAGTTCTCTGTTCTCAAACAACCGGTCCAGCGGGATGCCTTCCCTTGTTGGCTCACTCGCCAACCATGTCAAGAAGTTATCTTCCACACACTCCAGGAACCTCCTAGACTGTTTTCTCTCTGCTCTATTGTATTTCCAGCAGAGATCTGGTAAGTTGAAGTCCCCCAAAAGAACAAGAGATAATGATTGTGAGACTTCTCCCAGCTGCTTACAGAATATTTCATCTGCCTCTTCATTCTGATTGAGTGGTCTGTAACAGACTCCCACCATGATATCTGCCTATTGGCCTTCCCCTTGATTCTTATCCATCAACACTCAACCCTGTTGTCACCATCATTAAGCTTTAGACAGCCAAAACACTCCCTGAGATAACAGGGCTACTCACACCGCCTCTCCTTCCTTGCTTATCCCTTCTGAGGAGTTTATAGCCATCCATTGCAGCACTGCAGTTGTTCAAGACCTCCCACCATGTTTCCATAATTGCAACTATATCACAGTTTTCCTGCTACACAATGACTTCCAGGTCCTCCTATTTGTTGCCCATGCTGCATGCATTGGTGTAGATGCACTTCAGTTGGGCTATTGATCCTGCCATTTTTCTGCCAGGGAGAAGCCCTAATTCCTATATGATCATTCTCAGATGCTTCTGTGGTTTTTAACACATCAATAACCCTTGTGCCTTTGCTGCTGCATGGATCTCCATCCCCTACCTCCACTGAGACAACAGACCGAAGGACCTTGCTAGCACACTGTCCCTCAAACATTGGCTTGCTGCCCCCAGGCTTATCTGTAGCATGGTTCAGTTGTCTACCTATAAAGATTTTGTATCACTTTGAGCACCCTCATGTGTCCCACCCCCAGCTTCTGCTTAAAAAGCCATTGTTCTGTCGTTGATCCTTGTTTTGTGTGTCAACCTGACATTGTGGATTTGGAGGGCGCTAGGACTCTCAGGTGGCATTAGACATCTATATGTAGGCAGCTGAATCCCATCCTATGTGTCTCATTTCTTATTCGTTGAATGTTCCTCTCTCACTTCTGGCTACTGGTTCCTACTCGACAGCCGTCTGTCTCTCATCTCTTCTGTTTATTTGACAGCATCATCTGTAAGGGTCAACTCATGATGTTTCCTTGTTTACAGTTGCTTTTACAGGTTTTTTTGCAGAGTGCAGTCTGAAGACCTGAAAGAACAGCTCAGGAAGGAGAACCAACACTAGTTGACTATCCAGCTGTGCACTGACCATGCATAAAAACTCTTCAGACTTTCTGGTGACAATATACTACTGTTTTCAAAATAGCTGAGTAGATAGAGTTGAAGAAGTTTTGAATTCAGGAAACATAGAGCTGATACTGGAGATGGTGTCAGCAAGATACTTAGCAAAGTCTATTTGCCAATGGAAGGGAGGGGATCTTATCTCAGAGATTTCCTTACACTTATATACAACAGCTGTTGCAGAGTGTTATGTTGTAAAGAAAGGAAAGCCTAGAAGGAAGGAAACGCCTACTATTCTAGGAAAGAATTGAATGGGTTTTGGTATGGAAAAAGAAAAAAAAAACACAACAAAAAACTGTCAGAAAGAACATCTGGAATGAAACTGAAATATGAAAACAATGGAAAATGCTTTTGAAACTCAACAGCAAACTAGATCCAGACTGAAGTCCAGAATAAGTGAAAATCCGGATAGAAAAAACACTCTTCTCTCTCTTCTCCCTTTGTTTTTAAAACCTATTTTAGCATAGTAGAGTTTTATCTTCTCCAGAGGTCAGATCTGACGAAGGATCTGTCATCTTGTATTTCGAACATTCTTCACTTTCTTTCCTAATTCTTCACTTCCAAATTATTGCTGACTTTGCTGGCCCGTTTCTTTAATTTTTCTTTGCCCAATCAGCTTAACTGCTTACTTTCATTATCTTCACACCACTTTGGGTCATTGATAAAATGTTGCATACTACAGGGCTTACAAGACCAGACCTGTTTGAGTCAATTCCCCCATTCTAGTCAGTCAGGCTGTAAATTAATGTGTGCCATGTTCGTGTTGTACCAGTGTAGTTTGTTAATCAGAAAGTTTTGTGCTACTAAGTCAAGTGTCTTGGAGAAGCCAATTATACTGTATCAAAGCTATTATCTTTATCAACTAGACCTGTAAACTCATTAGAAGATGATAACAAGGAAGTTTCACAGGGCCTTTTTTCTATAAAACCAAGTTGATTGGCATTAATTATACCACCCACCTTTAATGATTTATTAATTGCGTTCAGAGTTGGACATTCCATTTTTATTTATTTTTCCCTTAGAATCATTGTCAAGTTGACAGGCCTGTAATTACCTGGGGCTCTCACTTTTATCTTTGTTTGAAATATTGGCACAATATTAGCTTGCTTCAAGTGCTCTGAGACATCATGAGTGATCCCACACTTACTGAAAAGCCCACCTTCATAGTTCAACGAGTTTCTGGGCCCACTCTTCTGTAGCATTTGCATTCGAGTTACTGAAATCTATTGATTTAGCACCATGGAAGTATTTGTGGAAATAGGCAAGTAGTAAGATGATTATTTTTGTTCTAAATATACTTAAACAGGCTAATTTTTGTACTCATAGGTATCTCCTGTGTTCTTTTGTGTCATATACCATTTACAGTTTCCAGCCGCTAAAGCATTTCTGTGAATATTATCTTCCGCTTTTTGAATTTCTTTTCCAAGAATTTAATGTGGTGATGAGCTATTGCAAATAGTTTTATTATAACTTCTTTGTTTCTCACTCTGATTATATTTTTGGTTTGTATGTTTGTTTTTTCCTTAACAAGAGTAACATTCCCTAACTTATCATAATGCAAGATTAAAAATCACAAATTTTAGCTAAATGTAGATGTAATTCGTTTTAAGAAGTGATAACTTCCAGTTCAAGCTTTTAGAGTTCACATTTTCAAGCATTTATCTGTGATTATTAAGCCTGGAAGCCTATTTAAAATAGTTTCAAAATTGAGCTGAGAATTGGATATAACACATAGCTGTTTTTAACTGACAACTAAAAGAAATAGCAAATGCTTTGTAACCAGCAGTAAAATAATAACACCAAAAATAATTTGTAATGATGATTAATAATAATCCCCCACTTTAAGGGAACATCTTCATGATTAGGAAATGGTAATGGTGAATAACATTGTAAGATTAATTTAAAGGTCTCTGAAATTTTTGGTTAAGTCTTTCTTTGGTCTTCAGTGTAGCTAATAACTTCATCCCAGGGGTGAGGTTGACCGGAGGACTGAGAAAGGTATGTTCAGCCTGAGTATTTTAAATCACAACTTGCTGTAAGGGTGAAGCAAGAAAACAATCTTTCTGCGTACAAAAATAGACACAAATGACTACATAACTCTTCTGCTGCTCTAGACAGATATTTGTTTAACCGAGTGCATTAGTGGTGGAAGTGCATATCACTAGTTTTGCTTTCTGAAAGTAGTGTTTGGTTACAGCCCAATTCCTGATTTTCTTCAGTTCAAACCATAGTTATCAGAGTTTAAACAAGAAAGTCAAAGATGGGTTGCATGGATGATGGACACTGTAGGACTGAATTCTCTCTGTGTCTCTGGAGAAGACACAAGCTCACTGGTGTGATATATGTTAGATGGGGAGCATGCAAGTCTTGTACTGTTTGTCTTTTACCCATATAAAAGCTGTACAGAGAATTTAAATACCCACAAATATCAATCAGACACTGATGGGGAACAATGAATTTATTTATTGATGTCACTTAATTAAAAAATGCTCTTAAAGAGAATTGTTTCTTTAGGATACAAAATCGTCTCTCTTTTCCAAACTAGTAATTTTTGAATATTAAAAGAACATGACAGGCCAGCTAATTTTGTGCAGATATGTATATAGTTTTTAGTTCTACATCTGCTGCAGTTTTCTGTTGCATAATTGATTTAATCTCTAATTTTAAAGGAACGCTGAACTCTCTTACTGGCCTCCACATACATTTCTCCAGGGCAAAAACTGTCCTACTTTTTCCTCCTTAGTGTCTGTTTAGTGCTGGACCATTTTCTTCTGAAATTGTAAACTACCCTCAGTGAAATAAATGAAGTCACAGTTGGAACACAGTTACTGTACAGACTTATCACCACAAGATAAGAGCAATATTGCACGCACCAAAACTTCTTGGGCCTTTTCTTTTCCCCTGCTCTTTTTCCTCAATCTTTCCATTGGTCTGAAAGTTGGTTTTACCCATCCTAGCTGCAGAACTTACAATTACATAGGAACTGGTGAAATTGTAATGGAGCAGAAAGGCAAAACTGGGATGAGGAAGGAAATGCTAGTTCAGTCATTTAGACCTTTAAATCTGGATTCATGCACCCCAATTCCGCCCTTATTTCAGCATTACAAAAGGCATTGATACCTTTGTGATGGATTGTGGCTGTTTTGTCTTTATTGCAGGTTCTTTTCACCATCCCCTAGAAAGGGATTTAAAGCTGCTGGTCCTTCTTCGGGCATCTGAAGGGATTTACTGTGATCGTCTGGAGGAAATAAATGTCCACCCAGGGAGTATTGGTATGAAACGTGAATTCATCTTTTAATAAGAAACCAATCTTAGGCAATAGCCAAACCTACTGCTGTTGAATCTGTTACTATGTCATACAGGAAAACATCCAACGAAAGTACACGCATCTTTGAGCCAAAGCTCTTTACTTTCACCAGGTCAGTTCCTTGATTTTTTGTGGATTTTGTTTAAGCAAAATTTGACAGAAGTGATCAACCAGGTGTGAAATCCCCAGGTCTTTATATTAAAAACTGGAAAGGAACTTAAAAAGATCTACACACATGTAAAAGTGTTTGGTCTTGGTTCTAGATTTGAGATTTGTAAAAGGTAATTGTCAAAGTTGAGAGTATTCAAACCAAGATGACCTTGTTGAGTGGACAGAAATGCACATTGCCAGAGGCCATTTTGTCTGTGATCTTTGGTCTCTCTTAGAATGAAATAAATTGCCCTCAAGTTTCCAGGCTAGGACGATGAGCTTAAACTCATATCGCTATTTTTAAATGCATGACTTAAGTGAGATGAAGTACATCCAAGAGCTACTGGATGGATTTAAACACACACATTTAAATATTTTCAAACATTTAGACCCATAGAAAGATTGAGAAAATAAGATTTATGTTAAATTTTACATACCCTCATATAATTATGGTTAAAGAAATAAGTTAACTTTTCTGTTTTCCATGTTTTAAAACACGTTTTATACAATACTTGAGTTTTGCAAGACTTCATTCATTGCTGAACTTTTGTAAGGCGGTAGAAATTCAAACTCCTATCAAGAAAAATTGCCTAGATAAAGATTTGTAGAATATTAAAGAACTTCAGAGAAAAAACAAGTGAACAACAAACATAAAACCAATGTTTTAGGACAATCAGGATTACATTATCAATGCTTGCCACAGTCGTCTTTTGGGCTATAGCAACACTATATGTCATGGAAAAAGTTTTCTATGGAGGAGATTAGCTCAAGCAGTAGGAGTTCACTAAATACTTGTAGCACAACACCTCTGAAGCAGTGTGTCGCTATTAGAGATAAAGAACAAATGTTGAACTGACTCAAACTGGAAGATTTCAGATCAGGTCAGAAAACTGAAACAAAACATTTCAATGCAGGAAACTGGAATTTTTTTCAAACTTCAAATGTAATCTTCTTGGAACATGTCATCTATATGAAAAGTTTCTATATTTTGGCTTTTTGCCCTGGTTTTGGATCCTTTTTCAAAAAAAAAAAACAACAAATTTTTCACAGATCAAAAATATAAATAATAGCTGAGTAATTATTTCTATTTTTCATTCCTGCAGTTTTTACTTAATTTGTCTACTTTCATAGATTTTTTTTTTTTTTTTTAAGGTCTGCAATGCTAATTTGAGTCAATGAGGCTTCTATGGTACAATCCCCTTTTTCACCTTCACATGTGATGGTCATTTTAATTTATTAATGATTTATTTCTAGTTCAATTTGTATTTCAAGTGCAGGATATGTGCTGTTCTTACACTTTTCATAAAATATAGAAGTGTGCTTTAGTAAATGGAAAGATTTCCATATATTTAGTTATTGTATCTTCTCAAGTCTCTCTTTCCCCTAACCTTTAAACTTCTGCTTCTGTTTTTTTCAGGGGTTTATGGAAAGGTGCAAATTTATAGCTCTTATCCTAAGACATCTTGGACACATCTGGGAACTAATGTTGCTCCTGGCAATGAAAGGTGATATTTTGCCCAAGTATACCTCCAAATATAAAGTTTGTACTTCTGTTCCTATGACTTGTATTAATGTTGCTATGACTGGTATAACTGTTTTCCTTTGTAATAGGCTCTGTTTAAACTATGCCTAGGTAGAAAAAGAACAACTATGTTACACCTTGAAAGAAAATTATACTGGTTTTAGACTAATTTTAATTCTAAGAAATGAAACTGAGATTTTCTTCTTTCCTTTTGTCCTTCCTTCATTGTTTGCTTCTGTTCTTCCAGCCTTCTTCCTTCCCTTCCTTCATCTCTCCCTCTGCCTTTCTCTTTCTTATTAGAAGGAAGAGATGTACTCAAAAGTGGCTGATATCTTGGTGATTAGTATGTTCATTTTGGTTTGAGAGACGTACATTAAAATCTCATCTCTGAATTAAGCAATACTGGGATATGAGCCATGTTTTTCAACATTTTAGATCAGTCCATGACAAAGTGGTTTCTGGACTGAACATCTTAATTTCTCCTATTAGAGTCAATCTTTTTGGTGCATGTAATTAATGTCAATTGACTCAAAGAATATAAGGCTGCCTGTATAGCCTGAAGAGTAAAGTTTCTGTCTGGGATGTGAGGCTTTCAAGGTATAGACTCATTTTCACTACCTTCTCTCTTTTCTGTTGCTGCTCATCCATAAGCTGTTACAGTCCCTGCAGCAGACTCATCTTCATCATCACTTACCCGTGAATTTAGTGTGAAGGCTTAGCTAAAACCGTCACCTAAGGCAGGTTAAGTGGAGTTACCACAGATGCTTCTTAAGCGAATAGGTGTCTATGACCTGAAGTTCAAACCTTTCGTCTGAGCCAGAGAACACGTCTGCGTAAGGATCTTCCCTGTAAGTGCCCTGACCATTAGCTGGTGAGGGTTGGGCACCTGCCTGGTTCTCTCTGAAGCTCTCATTTTTGATTCTGTGTCACACAAAATTTTGATTACCTTTTGCTGTAATTTTTCCAAGTGCTTCATTTTAAACTGAAATACTTGTATTCGAAGAAAAAAAAATAATCTGTCAGGCCTAACAAGCATTCATTGGAAGAGTTCCCATCTGGATAGAGGTGAAGTATCAGCATTTAGGGAAGGAATTATCTGGAACCTTGTTGTAGAGATGGGCAATGGAAGTACAAAGACCTCACAAGTAGGATCCATCTGTTCTTAGCTCTCACACAGTTGCGTGTCTAGTGTAGATTAATTGATTAGGATTGCTATATAGTCAGTGGAGAGACGGATACTGCCAGATGCTGATTCAAACCATGCAACATTAGAATCACCCTCTGGAAATTCTAAAAAAAGGATGGGAGTTCAGAGTAAGCAGATTCTTGACTGAAGCATGCCAGTTAAATACTTGAATGAAATGGATCTAGGCTAGTATTGGTCTGCTGCCCAAATGTTTTATATGAAATATCATGAGGTGCTAAGATGCAAGTATTTGGAGTTCATTCATCCACCTTAAATATGACACAAACAATTGTTTCCATTGTTAAAGAAAAAAGGGGAAAAAACAAAGCTATTTGTCATGAAAAGTCTACTGATAGCCAGCTAAGAGTTAATGTGGTCAGATACAGGAAATAGTCAAGTCAGTGCTCGAATAGGAAAGCTGAAGGCAGTGGCTTTTTCGTTGACTGAGAGAAGCTGCTATATACATTTTCCAGCATGAATCAGCACATGAGTTAGGGAAAGACTTATACTTTCAAAAAGGAGAGAAAAAAAAAAAAAAAAGAAAATACTTATTGACTTACATTGAAAACCTAAATTAGTATTTCAATAGATTAATATCTTAGATGGTATCTCTTACAAACCACGTTTTCTTTTTCTTATTGATCCTTCTTATTAGACTTTTCTGAAATGCAGGAGTCAAAAGAGTTATGTCTGGGTCCACAAGATGTAATTTATTGTTGGAGTGTATGCCTGAGACAGGACTTAGGATTCAACTTCTAGTATGGGTTGTATGTGATCTGTCAAAAATCCCAAACACACGCCACAATTCTTAATCTGTGTTGTTTTGTTTAGTCCTTGCCAGTATATTTATCCTTGAACAATACACAGTTCTGTCACACTAACACTTTCCTGCCGTTTCAGAAGATATCCAGTGCTTCCTCTAAGCAAAAAAGAAATCAAAGTTTTGGTAGACTTGTCTATTCAGTGTTCACAGGTGCTGAAAACTGGAAGTACTCATGTTGAGCTTACTAACCTTTGAGAAAAACTGTGAGAATTGACACTAGGAAAACTTGGCAATATAGATTGGTAGTTACATCTCTTTAGGACTTCTCCTTCTCTCTGCACTTCTGTCACTCTTGAGAGCATGATAAGGCATTCTCTGAATTTATTCAGTGGTCTATTTTTTCAACAGTCACCTGAGGAATATAGATCATCACCTGGCCAGCACCAGTCACCTTGTAATAGGACCATCTGGGTGTTTATCCAATATATATAAACACTGATCATTACCCATTTTGCTTTCACTGAATGTTTTTATTTTCTGTATATGAAGCTAAAAAAATCCCTGAGCTACAAATATAACTTTGAATGCAAAATTTCAAGGTCAAAATAAATAAATATAGGTGTCTGTGTGAAATGTTGAAAAAGATGTTTAAGCTTCATTCAAGTCAGTGGAGTTGTAGGTGCTGGAGCCTAGGGGGCTATTCAACCACCAAGGGCAGGATTCAGCCCAGAACATAGTTTCTGGACTCATTTGAGGGGCCTTTGGACTCATCTGAGATGTCTTTGAATCCCCTCCATGGCTTCCACCTGTATCTTCAGGAATGCTCCATGAACAAGTCCTATCATACCTACCAACTGATGTCTTAGATATCCAAGGACATCTCAGATAACAACAGGTGCTCATATTTAGGCAATCAAATCCTGCTCTACGTGCCCAATTCAGAGAGAACTGAATGACCTTCCACTCAACACTGACTGTACTGATGAACTATAGTGAAAGCTTATATGCCAAGTGCCCGCACACATGGACACCTACCTTTTGGTGTCTAAGTCTGAAGCTGTTCAGCTCTGTAGGATATTCCTGGCACCAAAAATGGTCTGATACGTTTTTGGCAAGCAACTTACTTGAGGCCTGGAACTCTGTACTGGAACTGCATACCTTGTTAATGAGTGGTGTGAAATAGACGTTTCAGGATGAAATTCCTCCCACACATTTCAGACATCTGTTTTTGCGGGAAGCCCTAAAGGGTATTTTCCTAGAGCTTAGCCTGTGGATTCTTTCTGAGATCTGCCTTGGCAAAATTGTTGTTCATTTCTTAGGAAATCTGTGAGCATAGCTCTCATAAATATAGTGACATTAGTTTAATATCTTGGTGTTACAGAATTTTTGTGGAGGACAAAGTGGATTGGGATCATGGTGGAGTTATTGTGCTCAGCTCTTCCTCCTATGAAGCCCACCAAGCTGAAGTAGTTACACTTAAAGAAGTCAATGGTCATAGCATAAGAATTAATGAACGCCTTCTGCACAGGCATATTGGTAAGGAATCTGTCTTTCCATTTGAGAGTTTTCTTCTGAAGCTTTGACTTTCCATTTAAGATGTCACCAAGATCAATCCTACTTTATAGAGATATCTTTGTTTCTTTCTCCAAATGCTTTTTTCCTTGGTGTTTTGATACTGAAAATGTAATGTTCAAAATTGCACAGAATAGCTGATTCTAACACGAATTTCTGAGAATAGAATTAATTCAGTGCTGAATAATTTTGGAAAACTTCCTGATGTTTTATGTTTTAAGTGGAACAGGTTAACAGAGAAATTAACTGAAATTTTAAAGAAAAAAAATGAATACAGGGGGTTTTTAGGCCATTTACATGATTTCTGTGGTGTGTCAAAAACTGAAAAATAAAAAAAAACCCTCCTTTTTGCAAAATAATTAGACTCATGGAGTTTCAAGTGACAAATTTTATCAACTCCATGGCATAAAACTAATATATTTGTAATCTAATATTTAAATAAACGTAAAATCTGTATATAACTCTATTTCCTGTGTGGATTGCATGGGATCTTTATTTAACTGGAAAAAGAGATGCACTGTTGATAAGTAATTTAATTTTATTTCAATCTATAAACTAAATTTATTACCATCTATTTAATAAAAATAAAAAAGAAATTGCTATTAGCAGGTCAAATTCTGAAGTTCCAAACCCAGGATTTTTCTTGAGAATAGCAATATTTTTTAAATTTAGTATTTATTCAGGCTAGTAGACACAAAAGTTAGTACGATCGATAAAAAAGTTCAGAAATATTGGGTGTTTTAAATGACTATACCTGTGCTAGTAAACAAAACCACTTGGAACTCAGCTCTGTTCTGCAGTTCTTCATACTGTTAATTGATAATAGCCTCCATGGTATAGTTTTGTTTGATATTGCATTAAAAAAAAAAAAGTAGTTCACATAGCACATCTAGACCCTATTTCCATTAGTTTATGTATGGCCTTTCTTTTTTGTGAGGGAAGGAAGAAATCTGCCATTCAGTCTTGAGGCCAGAGGACAGTTCTTAACCTGGTTGCTTAGCTAATGTCGATACAGTAAGTGTATCCTGAGATGAAATGGTTACATACACATTAACTACTGCAGCAGTTGTTAGATATAGATGGAAAAGAAAAAAAGGTCTAATGAGAGAATTAAGAGCTACATAAATACTGGGATTCACCTGGGCAAATGTAGATGTCTAGAATAAATGTTCACACGTGAGCTAGTCACTCTCAGCTCCCTTGATAATCAAAGTAGAAAAATGCATACTGCTCACTTGTATTTCATTTCCCCCTAAAGCAGATGTATAAAATAGATAACAAATTGCACTTGAGAATTGCCTATTGCTCTCCATTGTACATAAAAACCAGCTTGGATAGCTAAATCATGTCTGCAGATATCTAAAGTCACCTGAGATTAATTCCAAGCTAGACATCTGCATAAACTCTCTCAAAAGTCTCGTTTAGAAAGACTTTGTTTAGAAAGCACACACAACTAAGACTGTAGCAAATTGTTTTTTAGCGTTGTCATTGGTCCGATCCTAATGAGAATTCATGGGGATCAGTGATTCTGAAGAATAACTCCAGCACATGTAGCTTAGAAAAAATGAAGTGTGAATCTGTTCATTGGTATGGCATCTGCACACCTCAGGGAAAAGATTTAGCACCTTCTTCTTCTAAAATCGAAATATGTTGGTAAAAAGTAAGTGCATGGTGAATATTTGATGGGCAGGTGGCCTTTCTGGTTTTGTGTTGATGCATGTAGATTGTGCTGGAGGAAAAACACACCTGAATGTCAGTGCAGATTCCGCAGAGAAGCTGTGCATAGGCTGTCAGGCTTTATGTCCCTCAAAGCACTGGTTTATAGGTATGATAGACACTTACCACATTTTCTTTCTTGAAACTCCCCAGGGCATTCCCATGACACAGAAGATGGTAGACGCATCCCTTTGGCTGCGGAGGTCGGACTCCTAACACGGAACATACAGATCAAGTCTGATATGGCTTGCACTGGGAGAATGCTGGTGGGACATTTTACAGACTCCAGTGGGACGGAGTTTGAAGGTAGTTGAGATTCACCTGTCCTCGACCTGACCAGTTCTGCCGGAGAAAGTACAGTCTAGCAACAGATGAATCCATTTGCATGTGCTATGCAATTCTAAGTAAACTGTGATTGTGTGACATCTGTAAAACAAGAGTACTGATTATATATCATAAACAGTGGAATATATTTTAGGAAGGTCTGCTCTGTGGTTAGTTGGTATTACTATAAATTTATGTATATTTATGAACAAATACCCATTACTGGCAATGCACTGACAAAGATTGCCCGCTATTATATGCCTGTGTGCTGTTTAAATTGGTGTCATTCCTACGTTCTTAGGTAATCTTGTAAGCTTTTGTTTCACTACAGTTATCTCATTGCAGGTGTCCTTCAACTCTCAAATATTGAATTTTTGAACTTTGGGCCTCCTCAGCTTTCTGCCATTGAATTCAGGAATGTATCCCAGGGGTCCTCGGTGGTGTCATCCAGCATTAATGGTAGCTGCGGAGTTGGCATTAAAGCAGTCATGAGCAACTGGATCTTATTGCGTGATAACTTGGTGTTCAACACGGTGGGACATGGCATTGATCTGGAAGGGCAAAATCATTCTCTCATCAGGAACCTTGTTACTCTGAGCAGGCAGCCAGAAGGCTTATTAACCTGGGTTGCTGGAATCAAGGTGAACCTTGTCATGGGTGTCTCCCTCTGTGGCAATGCTGTGGCAGGATCTGAGCGAATTGGCTTCCATATCAGAGGCCAAGAGTGTTTGCTAGATGGAGACTATTGCAGTGAAAATGTGGCCCATTCAAGTCTGCATGGTATTCATCTGTACTGGGGAGATGGATTTCAGACCTGCACTAGGATCACAGGTTTTCTATCCTATAAGAATTACGACTATGGTGTCATGTTCCACCTTGGAAGCAGTGTCATCGTGGACAATGTGGTGCTGGTGGACAACACTGTGGGACTCATGCCAGTAGTCTACTGTCTCTATGCCATGCAGTGCCACACGGGGAAAAGATTCATAGAGCTGAGAAACTCCACCATTGTCGCAACAAGCTCAACTTTTGACTGCATCAGAGACAGGATCAAGCCTCACTCAGCTGATCTAACAGCCAAGGATCGACCACCATACTACCCTCTACGAGGCCGTGTTGGGATTTTATGGCCTACATTTACCACTGTTCCCAGCCAAAGGCCAGATAACCCATGGCACAAAACTGGACATTGTCCAAAAGTCCTGGGACTCATGAAGCTGAAAGGTTGGTCTTCTTCATCCACTGGCCAGATTTTTCTGTCACTGTTTTTCTTGACTAATTACATTCTTCCAATTGAAGTTGCAGCATTCTACACCCACAAATGCATGTAGTGGGGAAATCTGAGCCTCAGTGGAATTAATAACAGAATTCTTCCTGAGTTCAATACAGTTCAATAAAAAAAAATTATTTGGTATTTTTCACTTTCTGAATCTACTGCAGTACAATTATATCATGTACTAATGTTTATATTTTACCTCAAACATGCCTGTGCTGTCATTTTTCCACTTGATTCATCTCTCTGATCTGCAGTTACCTCTAGCTAAATAAAGATACCGAGTTTGAGAAGTGGATAGCACATTTTGTATAGAATTTGCATAGAACATAATGTCTACAGCTGCACAGAAACAGTTCAGGCTCTTATTGTTATAAGGATTGCACAAGAGGGATACAAGTCAGTTATGTATCCCATGTCTTTGGTTCAAATGAATTTTACAGTCCCCAGAGTAATATTTGCATATAGCAGAACCTAGATAGCTGGTTGCCATGGTGGGATCTAAATATCTCACAGTTTTTCATGTCTTTGTCCCTCACTGCTGCCTACTTTTGTAAGAAAATATATTATCCTCTTTTTACTGAAGAATAAGGGAGACAGAGAAAGGCAAATAGTCTTGCCCAGGGTCTCACAGAAAATTTGTGGCAAAACATGGATTTTTTAGCTGCACAAGAGTTCAGTGCCAGAGCCAAGCATATGTTACCAGACCCTGCTCATCATATCTTAATGTCTGGCAAGCGGATAAACCATGCAAGGCAGGTTGTCATTAAACTGGTTCTTACTGATTCAAATGAAAATTTATTAATCACTCTTGCTTTTGTTTCTTTCTAACTTACTATTTACTTTTTTTTTCATTTCCTATGGGCATGACTTAGTTTGTGACAACTTAAGATATAACTTGGGTATGGAATATTCTAAAGCCAATAGAAGATCTATGATCTATGCAATTAGTCTGATTTAAAAATGATTTGTACATATGTAATTATATATGGGAGCAATTTAACTTGGAAAATGTCTAGAACAGAGCCTTTTCTCTTTAGTTCTGGCCCCTCTCTAACTGTTTTTCCTCGCTTGATCTTCTCTTAATCCTTGGCAGAAGTCACCTTTACTGGTTTTACAAAGAGCTGCTACAGTGAAGACAGGGATGTCTGCATCATGTCAAATGCTGACCATTTAGGCATCATGCCTCTAATCACAGCAGAGACATCAAGGATGTTACACGTCAATGAGAAGGACAAGTTTTACTTTCATCCAACAAGGTAATATGTTTTGTTTTGAACTATCTTTTTCAATAGTTTATGCAAAAAAAAAAAAGCACCTACGGTTTTGGGACTATCCTCACTTCTGTTTGTATCAGCTGACTCCTTGTATTGTCTTAGAAAGAGTTCAAGCAATTAGTTTAGACTGGATGTGTAGCTGGAGAGCAGTCCCATTCTTTGTCATACTGCTTCTGTCTGGCAAAAATGAACAAGCTCAGACATCAAACAAGCATGCACAGAAAAACTCTACTCCAGAGAAAAAAAAAATTCCAAACTTAGTTCAGGGCAATTTTTTAAAATTTGAGGTTCAGATTCCATCAAGGTGCATCTCCAGACCAATCCTCTTGGATTTCCCCTTTTACTGACATTTGTGTAGCAAAACACGCCTCACAAATCTCATTTCTTAAAACTCCATCCTGAGCATCTCTGACTTCTCAGCCTCAGGCTTCAGAAAATGTCAGGACCTCGAGCAAAAAACCCTGAGACAGGGAATGTCCTTTTGGTTGGGGAAGCGGAACTTGATTTTTGCCTGCGAGATCACATCAGAAATGTTGATCAGTACTAGGGCAGTCTGTGAGATGTCAAATGATTGCCAGAATTGCTCCTGCCGAGGGAGAATATCCTCTGCGTGTGGAGGAACATGGAAGAGGGAGGGGAGGGCTTCATCTGCAACCTTAAGTCACTGCTGGTTGCAGTGGTTTAAACACATGGCATCCAATGGAAACCACGTGCCTATTTATTTATTACAACTGGTGAATACAATATAGATGCTATGTCAGGAAAGCCTTGAAGTAGCAAAAAACTCCAGCATTGACTCCACTTGCCAGTCAAAAATAATTGGAAGTGTCCCACACTGCTGTGTTTAGAGCCCCTCCAGCCTTCTGCCAGAATTTTGATTTTATTCTGTATTTTTGCGTTTTGCTCTGGGCATGAGTTTGCGTGTAGATTTCTGAGACCTGTCCAACTTGTCAGCTCCCATTATGTTTCACTCTTGTATCCATCCCACAATATTATGCTATTAGTGTGCTGCTGAATATGCAGTCCACTGCAAGAGCTGGTGATTTTCAAACATGATGAATGCACATGGATTACCGAATGCTTTCTTAGTAGTCTGGTAACCCTCTGAGGGTGAGTACATCTCTCAGTGCTGCTCATGCATTATCTACATGCATTTATTTAATCCGCCTTTGCAACTGCTGAGCTTGATCCAGGCTGTGGCTGCATTGTTCTTCTTCTGCATCTTGAAGGGGTACCTTGATGGATATGTCCTGTCAAAGAGAAGGTAAGCATTGCCTTAGAGGGGAAGAGGAAATAGAAACATCAGGGAATATAGCAAGATCATGAAGTACTTTGCTTGTCCCACTGGTAGACTTTACCACCTGAAATCCTGGATCTTCTGAGAAATGTTCAAGATTTGAACTAGCTGTCAGGATCAGAGGAACTCTTTGTTCTCCGCCTCTTTTGAGCTGTGTTGACTGGGGACATTGGCTCATTTGTTTCTCTGTCCTTAATGTAAATCTTTGCCTATATCTGTTTGTTTCATTCAAAATATCAATAATTGGGTTTTTACAACCTGAGCCCAAGAAATTCTAAGTTTTCTTCAAGACTTAATGTGTATCCATGTAGCAATCTGAAGATGTTTCCATGGACTCTGCTGGATTACAAGTCATTGTGTATGGCCTGTTGACTAGTTCCTTTAAACTGAGTTAAACTTTTAGTCAAAATGCAGTTAAAAGCACTTAAGAATCTCAACATGTGATTCAGCTCACTACACTTTAGTGATCCAAAAATTAGGCATGTAATCTAAAGAAGATACTAAAATCATTCTGTAGTCAATAGAGACCCTTGTCTAGGAAATGATTCATCTCAACTATCATATATATGCCTCAGGTGAGGTGAGTTCCCCTCCAATAAGCCTGTCCTGTTGCAGGTACCTCCTTCTGTGGAAAATTGGATAAACTTATTTGAAAATTAGATGTAGTTTGCTGAGATACATTATCACGCCATCCAAAAAGCGCTTTGTTCTAGTTTGGAGTAATGCTCTGAAACTCTCTTACCTTATTAGTCTTATTTTCAAAGTGTGGTTTAATTCTGTTCATAGGATCTGAACCTGTCGTTAGAAAGAAATAGTTATTCATTGTCCAGGAGACAGTACTGATTGAGTAATCACTTACTGCTAGATATGGATGATTGAATGATGAAATGTGGGCTTAGGCTTAGCTTTGAGGTGAGATCCATGTATACTTCACTTTAAGCCCATCAAAACCACCAAAATGACATTGAATATCCAAACCCATTTTTTTTATTAGAACATAAATTAGGACAATATTTTCAGACACAGTTCCAAACTCCTGGGTATGAAATAAGAAAAAAAAAACAACAAACAAAACAGATTTATAAACACGTTAATCCTTAAGCACTGTGTCCTATTAGAATGAGTTTTCTCGTTTCAAGTTTGCTTCTGCTCTAGAAAAGTTAAGGGGCTCCTTGACCTGCAACAAACTTCTCTGAATTCCTAGCAGAAGTCTCTTTATTTTGTTTCTTCTGGTTGTGTTCACACTAGCAAATTAAGTAGAGCCAAGGAACTGACTATCAGAACTTGAGTTTTAGCACTGTTCAACTCTTAGCATGGTCATTGGCTTGGCTTTGGCATGAGCCAGCTATCATTGACCCAATCAATGCCATAATTCAGGTGGTCATGGACTTTTCCAAACTGATAGTTTGGATATGACCATCCTGTATTGAATGTTAATGGAATTTGACTCTACAGACATGGACAGACTGTACCAGTTGATTTAGGAAAAGGATAGGTTTTGAAACTGGGTAACTTGGATAGATGCACTCTCTGTGGCCTGGTTGCAAATCTTCTTCCTGCTTGTGGCAGGAGTCTCCAAGCCTTTATTTAAGATGTGTTTTCCCTGCTAGCTCCCTCTCTCATACTTACTGCCATTTCACCTTGCTTCATGCTTTCTTCTCCATAACCTTAGTTGATCACAAGAAGGTGCAATTTTCTGACCCTTCAGAAGGCTCCCCCATTCCAGAGTGCAGAGGTAAGAACAAGGCAAACAGGTACTGCTGGGCAGCTAATGCTTTTTAACAAAATACTGTGCACAACACACACCAATCTGTAAGCAAAAACACCCCAATCCATCACTGGTGGATGTGAAGAGCAATGCCTGTGCCGTGTCAGCACTGCATGTTGCAGCAGAGACATTCCCGGTCACTCGGTGCAATAGCAGCCAATACACATTTCCCCTTCACTTGGCAACTACAGGTTTAACCTGCCACAGGTCAAACATTAATGGCATATGGATATTGATGCCATTAACTGCATCGCTGCAGTTTCTAAAATCAGGAAAGCCAAGAGGGAACCAGAGGTACTCAACCTGCAACTGTATAGCTGGCTCTAAGAACTATGACAGTCCACACTGGCCAAAACAAACCTCAGGAAGGAGAAGATTTGGGGATAGAAGTTGTACTGAAAAGAAGATGATTTTCTCTGTCCACACCAAGACATTTGGAGAGAGAGGATGTCGATTTGATTTTTTTTGTTGGTTTGGATACAAATATGCCAAAATACATGTGTTGCTACAGAATTTCTTTGCAGAGTATGACAGACCTCAACAGGTATGCTTAGGTTTAATTTATTTTTGCTTATTTTCCATTTTTTTGTTTTCTTGGGCATGTGAGTTTACCTAGTAAATATCAAGATGTTGCATGTCTATGATTCTAAGAAATTCTTCAGGGTGGTGAGGCACTGGGACAGGTTGCCCAGAGAAGTTGTGGATGCCCCATCCCTGGAAGTGTTCATGGCCAGGTTGGATGAGGCTTTGAGTAACCTGGTGTACTGGAGGGTGTCCCTGCCCATGGCAGGGGGATTGGAAGTAGATGATCTTTGAGGTCCCTTCCAACCCAACCCATTCTATGATTCTATAATTCTATGATTCAAAGATTCTATGATTCTATGTATGTGCAGCAGTATTCGTTATTACAAACAACAGCATAATATTTTTCCTTTGCTCTTGTCTTCATAATAACTTCACATCTCCTGCCTATCAGTGTACAGACCTCCGAAGACACCATGTTCCCTGAAAAAACATGCAAAGGCTCAAGAAAGGCCCTTTTCAAGGATTTAGATGGAGGTGTCCTCGACCTAGAACCACCTGTTTCTGTTTTCCCGAAGTCAGAATTTGAATGGACACAGTTCTATTTGCAAACTGGTAAGTGCCTGTGCTGTTGGGAGTGCTTGCAAAGTCATGCATACATGTTACCCCAGGTTTTCACTGAGATCTACAACTGAGGTTGAGATGGTGGTGATCCCAGATTGTGTGATGCCTTTCCAGGATGGATACAGTGAATTACAGTGTAGAAGTCTCGGAAGCCTCTTTGCGCAGTCCCGTGCCCACTGGTGCCTCTCTGCCTTCTTGCAGAATCATCTCACCTGGCATCCTTCGCCCCTTTAGGGTTTAATTCACTCCTTTTAAGACCAGAACAGAATTTAGCTGCTCTTTGCAAAGCCCTCTGAGAACACTAAGACAGACATGCCATGTAAATGCTACCTAAGTGCAAAATAATACCAAGAATTGGCCCAGCGAGTATTTTCATCCACATCCCACTGAGGAGATAATCAAACTGAAAACCTGCTCCAGAAGTTTAAAGACCCCTTTCTCTGGTTTAAAAAGGCCCATTCTGCTCGGTAACCACTTTCTGAAGGTTCGCACAGCAAGGCTCCGTTCTCATCCTGATTAAAACTCTGCTCTCTGATTCCAAATAAACTCTTTAATTACAATTAGCATTTCCTGTGCCTGCTGCTGATGGTGGCCATGTTGCAGAAAAGGCACATCATTTTTCACTCCAGCGGTATGGGAGACTGACGGAAGGGACTGTAATTAATCCTGTTTTCTATCCCACTCTAAAACTGATTAAACATGAGAACAACTTTAATCTTTAAACAAAACGACTAATGTGTATCCAGTAAAGGCTTTTCCTCTAAGGATCCCACTCTTACTGGCTGCTTACAGGGCTGATTAATGTGTTGTCTAGATGCAAACACACTGGTTTTTACTTTTTCTGCCCTGATTATGAATCACATGACCCTAGCCGTGTTGTCACTCAGCACCTGCGCATTAATGCGTGCATACTTTTGCAAACAGAACCTGGATTTTATTTACATTCACTCCATTTTCAGCACAGCCTGGCACACAGTCATGGGCATGCCAGGAATTCCCACCATCCAAAGCACACTGGCGATGGAACCTGCATTCCGCAGGGTTTATCTCCTTGTGTAATGGAGGCCGCAGCATATGGTAAATGCTGCCTGCCTCTGAGGCTGTAACAAAATTGTCGTGTTCTTCTCGCTGCCTAAATATGAACGAGGATTTTTTTTTTCACTCTCCCTTCACAATTGTGTGTTGGATTCCTTTGTGTTTGTCATCCTGACCTGCGATTCCTTTCCTCTTGAGGTTGACATTTGGAAAGGCACAGCTTGATGCTAAGGTGAATTCATGATCGTCTTCTTCCCTTCTCTACCCCCTCCTTCTCCTTCTTGAACGTTGTAGCACTGAGCATTTTGCACAGCACAATGCGGCTTCCCATGCTGGACAAACAGGACAAAATGCTCACCTTTCCTGCTCACACAGATCTTCTGTGGGGCCCAGTTCCCCCTTGGTGTGACACTACTTCAAGGCCAGTGAAGATGGTGGTGTTATGATGCTGTTGAGCAGAATTTGGCCCTTGGAGTTCTGCCTTTCCTGAATCCAGATGATCATTTGGTACTTACATTACCTGAGTGCTCAAGATCCGCCTGCTGAGCCTCTCATCCACACATCCATCTGATAGCGTGTTAAACCTGAGTGATTCTGACCACCTCCAGCAGCTTCATCAGAGCACTGCAATGCAGTGGATAGTGCTCTGCTAGCCCAACTCACGACAGAAATAGGACATAGTCTTTTCAGGTAGCTATACAACATCCTTGCCACTTCCACAGTTCAGGGACACAAGTTTCTTTGAGACTCGAAAGCTCTGGCTTTCCACATCCTCTTAATTGCACCTTTATCCAGACGTATGTATATATTCCCTTTAAGCTTCCAGTTTGGACAATCAGCTTGAAATTATTTGCCTTCAGCCATTTCTGGATATTCTGATTAGACCCGGGGGGTAAACCAAAACATTTTATATACTTCAGGGACACAAAAACCAGGAAGGTGTTTTCTCAGAAGAATACTGTAGGGAAGAGGCTGTGAGAGCCTCTGTATGATATTAATGCTGTGTGAAATTAATGCTCCTGAATTCACATGATGTCTTTATTGAACATACAATCAATATAGAATGTAGAATCATAGAATGATTTGGGTTGGAAAGGACCTTAAAGATCATCTAGTTCCAACCCCCCTACCGTGGGCAAGGACACTTTCCACTACACCAGGTTGTTCAAAGCCTCGTCCAACCTGGCCTTGAACACTTCTGATGAGGGGGCATCCACAACTTCTCTGGGCAAGCTGTTCCAGTGCCTCACCACTCTCAGAGGGAAGAATTTCTTCCTTATATATAATCTAAATCTACCCTCTTTCAGTTTAAAGCCATTGCCCCTTGTCCTATCACTACACACCCTTGTAAAAAGTCCCTCTCCAGCTTTCTTGAGAAAGCTGCTCTAAGATCTCCCCAGAGCCTTCTCTTCTCCAGCCTGAACAACCCCAACTCTCTCAGCCTGTCTCCATAGCAGAGGTGCTCCAGCCCTCAGATCATTTTTGTGACCCTCCTCTGGACCTGCTTAAACAGCTCTATGTCCTTCTTGTGTTGGGGGCCCCAGAGCTGAATGCAGTATTCCAGGTGGGGTCTCACAAAAGCAGAGTAGAGGGGTGGAATCCCCTCCTTCGACCTGCTGGCCACGCTGCTTTGGATGCAGGCCAGGACACGGTTGGCTTTCTGGGCTGCCAGCACACATTGCTGGCTCATGTTGAGCTTCTCATCAATCAACACCCCCAAGTCCTTCTCCTCCATGCTGCTCTCAATCCATTCTCCACCCAGCCTGTACTTGTGCTTGGGATTGCCCCAACCCGTGTACAGGACCTTGCACTTGGCCTTGTTGAACTTCATGAGGTTCTCACAGGCCCACCTCTCCAGCCTGTCAAGGTCCCTCTGGATGGCATCCCTTCCCTCCAGCGTGTCCACAACACCACACAACTTGTTGTCATCTGCAAACTTGCTGAGGGTGCACTCGATCCCACTGTCCATGTCTCCAACAAAGATATTGAACAGCACCAGCCCCAATACTGACCCTGAGGAACACCACTTGTCACTGAGTAATATATTATTTTTGTATGTATATATATATATGTGTGTGCGAATATGGAAAAGATAAGGAAGGACCACTTGGCTTCCTGAGTTCTGCCCACTGTGGATGGGCAGTAATGAGCCATGCAATGTATATTTAATCATGTAACCACTTCTTTTTTCTTTTGACTTCCTGTGCGCCTGATCTTTTACCTGCTGTGTTAGCCTTTTGGGTCAGAGACCATCTCTTTTTATTGTGACTTTCTGTAGAAGTAGAGTTGTTCATGTAAAACTGAAGTTTTAGTTTTCTGGATAAACTGCAGAATTCAGGACAAAAAAAAAACAACAGGAGGGAACAGGTCCAATATTTTTGTTATTATTATTTCTACAAAAAGAAAAAAGTGCAATAACAGTAGTGGTTTTGAATCACACAAAGCATAATTATTTTTTAATCTAAGGATACTTTTTGTTCTTGTTTTTTTCTTTTAAATATAATGCTGCATAAGTTTAGAATTAAATGTTTTCCAACACCTCCCTAAATAATTTAAAAGAAACTTTCACAGTATCATTTTTCAAATTATCCAAAATAATTTAATGAGTTTAACATGAATTTGTAATTATTTTAATCTCTTTGAGCTGCCATTTTTGGATGACAAAATGTTTTTCTACCCAAACTCATCTTTACACCAAACTTCTTACAAAAGAGCTTGGGGCCAGGCCTGGAGCACTAAATGGTACCATGAAACAGGAAATTCCAGAATCACAAGCTGTACAGCAGAATTAGCTATAAACATGAGTGTGTCTCACTGAGGAATGAAGGATAAGTGAACAGTTTGTGTACACAACTGCTTTCTGTGTCCAGGTTAAAATCCCTGTTCCACGAAGGATTGCTGATACAACGATTATTCTGTACTTATAGTTGCAATGATTTGCTGGCTATCTGCAATAATTATAGGACTCTGTTATCGTACTGCCTCATGACAATGTCTGTAACCCAACAATAACCAACTCCCAGAGACGCTGAAGTTCTTTTTCTTCCCTTGGTGGAAATGTAGCTGAAGACCAGAGGCTGGTAGAAGATTCATCTGACCCCATTTCCGTTGCCTCCAACATTCTTTCTGGTGAACAGAGAGAGATTGACACCTTAAGGGCAGAAGTTAGGTGGGCGGATACATGGATGCCTGAGAGATAAACCCAAGCATTTCAAGTTTTAATCTAGAACCTGCAAACACATATATTTTCTTCCTACTGACAAGACACATTCTAGGCATTTTTTAAAGCAATTTGGCTGAATAATCATAAAATCATAGAATCTTAGAATCATAGAACCATAGAACAGCTCAGATTGGAAAGGACCTCTAAAGGTCATCTGGTCCAAACTTTCATGGAAAGAGAGCTGTCGTGGGTTAGGCTGACCCTCCCACACAGCCAGTCACTCCCCCTCCCCCACCCCCAGGAATGAGGGAGAGAATTAAAGGAGAAACGGGAAACCTGTGGGTTGAGATAAGAACAATTTAATACAGATGATTTAATACACAGTGTAGATGCTCACCACCCCCTCGTATGCGAAGCCCGTCTCGTCCCGAAGCTGCAATCATGGACGAACGCGAGGCCCCGAAATAGAGAGGGGCAGAGAGAGAGAGAGATAGTACTCCGAGAGTGGGAGTACTGGGAGAGAGAGAAAAAAGAAAGAAAAACAATAGAGCAAAAGCGCAGCAAGCGCAAAAGAGCAAAAGCGGCGAAAGAGCCAAAGCGCAAAAGCCCTTCTGTCCGGCTGACCCTCACTTTTATACTGGGCATGACGCTGCATGATATGGAATAGTAATTGGCCAGTTTGGCCCTCAATCTTAAGTTCCACCACAAATCACAAGGGGGATCGATGGTCGCATTAACTAGAATCAGCCAAAAATCTATTTTACATACTACTTTTTTTACTGAAAACCATGCC